TTTTCTTTCTATTTTTAAGTGTATTGTGATTTTTATCTTTTTAAAACACTCATTTTTCATATCTGCCCAGCACTGCACTTCAGGCTTTGCCTCTTCATGTAGGTCCTGGGCACAAATCCACAAACCACAGGTCCAGTCTGGCCCACTCTCTGAATTTTTATGGTGTACATGCTAAGCAAGGTTTTTGTATTTTCTAATGGTTAAAAAAATAAAGAGAATAATAACATTTTTGTAGAATGCAAAGCAATGAAACATAAATTTTAGCATCTAAGTTTGTAACAATGACTCTGCTTTCTGTGACTGCATTGTCTACACAAGGAAGGAAGAATCAGCTAAGCCTGCATTGTCTACACAAGGAAGGAAGAATCAGCTAAGCCTGCATTGTCTACACAATGGTTCTCAACCTCCCTAATGTTGCAACCCTTTCAGTACAGTTCCTCATGTTGTGGTGATCCCCAACCATAAAATTATGTCTGTTGCTACTTCATAACTGTAGTTTTCTTACCCTTATGAATCATAATGTAAATGTCTTTGCTTTCTGATGGTCTTAGGTGACCCCTGTGAAAGGGGTCATTAGACCCTGAGGAGTCATGACCCACAGGTTGAGAACCGGGAAGAGGCTACCCTGTCCAGAAAACCCCAATACTTACTATGCCTTTCTGGAAATTGGTTCTACTGTGGTTTATTTAATGCTCTAGACTCTGAGCATTACCTCCAGGCACTTCCCCTAATTGTCCAGTCTGGCCTAGACAATTAAGGAAATTGTCTTCTCGGTGCACACAATGCATGTATTTGCAAAGGCATCACCAACCGAACTGTGCTCTTCTTACTCCTCCATACCTGGCTGTAAATACTCTAACTGGGCTGTGCCTTGGCCTCCTGGCATCCCCAGACCTCTCTCCTGCTGGGTAACAGGAACATCCACATGTAACAGTGTTCTGCACCAGTTAACAATTAACTACCAACTGGCTTGTATGACAACATGATGAAAAGCAATATTTCTTTTAATTTCCCAGCAATGAAACAGCACAGCAAAGAGTCAGTGGGGTAGAAGTGGTGATCAGCCCTTCGGGATTCACAAGAGAGACTGCTTGGAGGAGCTGGCATGTGAGTACATTCCTGAGACCCAGGTGTAAAGTCTTAGGAAGCCTGGCCCGTTGTCCTGATGTATTGAACAGGGATGGGCAGGTACACAGCTTCCAGAAGTGCCCTTCACATTGCTTTCCATGGACCCATCTCTCTGAGGGCTCCAGGTCCGTCCAGCCTGTCTTTCCATCTTCACTAATTCCCAGGTTTTCCTGCTTTGTCCTTCTGGTGAGGGACCTTCGCCTCTCTTCCACAGTATCCTGTGTCGACTGCTGTTGGAACTACAGTCTCCTCAGAGCACAGTTCTGTTGTTTCTGGTGACTCTGAATGTTCACTCCCAGAAGGCACTGTTAGAAAAGCCAACGGGTCATGTTCAGTAATCAGTAAAGTAGAAAGTTGATGAGAACAGCTGAGAGAAAGAAATAGGGTAAGGAACAAGAGTTTCAGAGCTCTACGCATGTGTATGCATGCGTGCGTGTGCGTGGGTGCATGTGTGGTGTGTGTTGCAGTGTGTGGAGGCCATAGGACACTTTGAGTGTCGTTTTTCTTCAGTCACTATTAACTTCTTTTTCGAGTCAAGGTCTTGCTCTGGCTGGGGGCTCGCTGATTAGTCAAGCTGGCTAGGCAGCAGTCCCCTGAGACCCACCAGTCTTCACCACTCCAGCACTGGGTTACAGGGTGTGCCACCATGCCCAGCCTTTGTATGTGGAGGCCAACCCCAGGTACTCAAGCTTCCACTGCAAAAGCTTTGATGACCGATCGACTCCCAGGCCAACTTTAAGTGCTCCTGCATGGTTCAAGTGTCTCGTTAGTGCAGGACCTCCTTTCTGTACCAGTGTGATGTGGGATTCCACTCTGTATGCTGTGAATAAAAAAACTGGGTTGGCCTGATGGGGTAGAACAGAGCTACGTGGGGAAAACTAAACTGAATGCTGGGAGAAAGAAGGGCGGAGTCAGAGAGAAGCCATGGAGCCGCTGCTGGAGTCAGACACGCTGGAATCTTGCCTGTAGACCACGAACCTCGTGATAAAATATAAAATAATGGAAATGGGTTAAATTGAGATGTAAAAGTTAGCCAATAAGGAGTTATAGCTAATAGGCCAAGCAGTGATTTAATTTATATAGTCTCTGTGTGGTTATTTCGGGAGTCTGGGCAGCTGGGAAACAAACAAGCGGCCTCCTACTATACCCATGGGCCCCCTTTCTTAGTCCTTAGGTGTGACTCTCTAGCCTCTTCCTGCTGAATAATTTGTCCTCACTGAGACAGCTCAGGAATTTTATTTTCAAACCCAAGGCCACAAGCAACTTGGCACAGTCTCTACCTACCATAGTCTTGGGCATCAATTCCAGTCCCTCAAAAGCAGTCACCTTCTCTTTGTGTTCTATCTAGTGACTTCTGGAAGCTACAGGGGGAGTCAGCATAACCAAGTTGAAACTCTCACTTACCCACGTGGAATGTGTTGAGTTGTGTCCTTGGCCTCCCATTCTTAGTGGAAACACTGAAGTCCTAGGCCTCTAGCACCTCACAAGGTGACCATGTTTGGGGTGGGAGCAGCGTTCTGTCTATCATTGCTTCCAGCTGTCCCCTTCCTTTGCAAGCTCTACACATTCCTGTTACCACCTCTCCTGGGGCTCTTCTATTTAAGCTTGCAGTGGAACCTGTCTTTGAAACCACAGTCTCCACACTCCCACAGCCCTTGGCCCTAGACTCCTAATTGTGAGCATGAAGCCCTCTAGTTCTCTAATTCCGCCAGAGTGAAGGTGCCGTAGGCTCAGAGACAGTGCCTTCTGCTCTGGCTGCTCTCTGGACACAGGGCCAATCACGGGCCCAGAGGTGTAGAATTTGCTCCAAGGAAGTACCAGTTCTCTCATGGAGTAGTCAGAGGTTGAGCACCTAAGCGCACAATCCAGATGTGCACACTCCCTCTCCCTTTATTGCCTCTGTAGAGCAGAGGCAAGGCTGTGCTTAGCTGATTGAGAAGACGCTGAGTTCTCAAGTCCCTGTCTGGCAATGAGCATACTCCCCAAGCACAGCTGATGAGGGATGACATCACATTCTTATGTGTCCTTCCATCAAGATGGAAAGCAATAATCCAGACACCCCCCTGACAACCTCTAGCAACTCCAAGGGAGGGTGAGGATGCTTTAGCTTTGCTTCTGTAAAATCTGCTGGCCTCATGGCCTTCAGGACTGGGAGGACCTTAAAAGCTCACGCTGTTTGCTACACACTGTAATCTAGAGAGGGAGATGGGAGGCTCTGCTCTTACAACAGCCTGGGTCTTGGCACAGGTTGCTCCAAAACAGAGCTCCTCCAAACCCACTTATGCAGACATGTTCCTGTCTTGTCATAGATGTCAAGTCCCTTTTGGACTGGGGGGCCATTGGCCTTCAGAAACGGAAGACTTTTATTCTGAAAAAAAGTTATTCTTTCACAACTAGACAAACACATCAGCCTACTCTCTTTTGATTTTGAACATTATGCTTCTACTTTATGTAGCTTGGACTTCATGAGGAACAGTTTAAAGGGGGAAAGAGCTTGCACCATGGAGTCAGACATTGCTGAGTTCGTGAGACAGATCTCTGCTGCAGCCGTGTGACCTTTGGGAAGAAAAGGAATGCTGCCTCACAGGCTGGAAAGAACATGAAATGGGTATGGTGTGCATATTGCCAGCATGGGGCTTGGCATTTAACAGACGCTGAAGGTAAGTTTTTTATTTTCTTCGTCCTTGCCATCCTACCACAGCAATTTCTTGCTCAATAAAAGGGAACGGAATCTGAAAATATAAACCAGGCAGACATTGCAAGGCTGTTTGCATTTGGGAACAAAATGGGAAAGATTGTAATTTGCTAAAGATTGTTTCTTAGTGTTCTTGGGCTGCCAGAATAAAGAACCAGTTACCAGTCTGGATGGTTTAAACCACAAACATCTATTATCTCAGGATGTGATTTATTTTGTGAAGGCTGGAAGATAAAGATAAAGGGGCTGGCTGCTTGTTCCTAGTGAGGCCTCTTTCTTGGTTTGCAGATTGTCTCCTTTACTCCATGCCTTCATAGGGCAAAGGGAGAGGGATGGAGTGGAGAGAGGGAGAAGCTGAGGAAGAGGGGTGAAGAGGAGAGACAGAGGAGAAAGGAGAGAGAGGAGGAGAGGGAGGGAGGAGAGAGAGGGAGAAGTTGAGGAAGAGGGGTGAGGAGGAGAGACAGAGGAGAAAGGAGAGAGAAGAGGAGAGGGAGGGAGGAGAGAGAGGGGTGCATAGGGAGAGACAAGTGTAGGGAGGGGGGAAGAGAAGAGGACAGAGGGAGAGAGGAAGGGAAGGAAGTAGGAAGGAAAGTGGAGAGGAGAGAAGGTGAGGAGAGAGGAAGAAGAGAGGAGAGGTGCTTGCTATTTGTAGACATGACAGTGTGGGATACACAATCCTTGTGCAGCCTGGAGAATGAGGAGTGACCTTATTCTCGTGAAGGGACCTAAAAGAGAACCCCAGCAAGGAGAAGCAAATGTAGATTACTTGTGCCATGTCAATCACATCTCATTTAGATGGGAGATTGAAAGCCAAGAGACAGGATTTTGCTTAAAAGAGGCCCCGGATAATTTCTGGAAGGAGTAAGGTTGACTGTGGTGGCATTTCAATAGTGTTTTAATGAATAAAGACTGCCTGAAGATCTGAGAGTCAAACAGCCCCACTGGTCAGCCCTACAGACCAGGTAATGGTAACACACACCTTTAATCTCAGCAGTCATAAAAACACACACCTTTAATCCCAATAGCCACATTAGTTGCCACAGAAACTGGGCAGTGCATGCCTTTAATGATGGTGGTACACACCTTTAATCACAGTGGCACATGCCTTTAATCCAAGACCTAGAGAGGATTATAAAATGAAAAAAAAAACAGCTTTCAATATACAGTCTTTCTCTGAGATTCCAGGAGGCAGGATTGCCATTTTGGACTAAGGTTGAGGTAAGAGTCAGTGTTTGGCTGTTTTGCTTTTCGATCTTCAGGCTGAACCCCAATTTCTCTCTCTGAGTGTTTATTAATCGTACTTCAAATGATGGTAAAAGTCCAACCTCAGAAAGGCTCCAAAGGTGGCTTGTCACAGAGTCAGAACTGAGAAGCCTCTTCTGCATCAGGACCAGCTGTCCATACCCCCAGTGTGAAGAAAGACCTGGGAGTGATGCTGGCCAGGCAGGGCTCTTGGGGACTGAGTTGTCCTCTAGTTGGCAGTTGACTAGAGAACACAAATGTAGCAACTGTATGAATGGAAATCAAATATTACTTTATTTCTAAGGTGAACATCAAATCTAGATCTTGGATTGGTCATCCATATTTGGGTGCTCATATTCTACCTCATTAGGGTCCTTGAGCCCACCCAACCAAGAAAGTCTGGGGATGCTCTGTAACCTTGGCTTGACCTACAACACCATGCTCAACTGAACAGGTAGAGGAGAAGGCCACCATAGACTTTTGAAAGGACAGGGTGATCCCTAACATAAGACAAAGCAGAACCTGGGTCCCCTTCTTCTCTGCCCCATCCTAGGGTGAGCAGTAGAAAGAAAGAGAGAGAGCCTGTAAGGGGAGGAATCACCTATGTCCAGTTTATTTTCCTTTCAAAATCAAATCAACTTTATTGAGATACAACATATATAACAAAGCACACTGACTTTAAGCATATAATTTTTTAGTTCTGATGAACGAATACCCCTATAACTATCCTCACAACCAAAATATCCATCATCTCTAAGAGTTTTCTCTGCCTCCCAAAGGTAAATCCCTCTGCAAACTCATCCCTAGCAGCCACAGTCTGCTTCCTGTCCTTGGAGGAAAGTTTCACCTGCTTCAGTGTTCCATAGCAGCAAAAGCTCTGTGCTTGGTTTCCCTTAGTGGCGTGAAATACTTGTACTTACTGGTGGCTGGTGGTCTAAACATTGTGCACAGTTCAAAAATTTGTTTAACCACTTACCTACCATGGGCACTTGAACGACTACTTGAAGATTTTTTTTCTATTATGAAAACTACCTGGTCCCTTTCTTTAATCTCAAAGCTAAGTCTTTCCCATTCCTCCAGATGGGATAGGAAAGAGGCTGAGTGCCATGTTCCACACAAGCTAGTGTGTTTCAGAATCCGAGGGAGTGTTAGAACGCCAGACGCAGGTTTATGCCTGCAGAGTTCCTGAATCGATTGATGGGGGGCAGGGCAAGAACGCGATTCTAACAACCGATGCTGCCACTCTGGGGAACACCTGGCCTTAGTGGCCTTGTAACATCCTTGAAGATCAGGAGGTTATGTGACCATGGTGTGAGACTGTACTCATCTAAGCCTCATGTATACACAACTCTATTTACCATTCAGACAAACATAAGCTTCATTGAGGTGTCTGTGGTTCCATAATGCAGTTGTTTTAACTATAAAACTCAAGATGTTTTAGTACTTCAGGAAGAGCCCTCGCACCAAGTTGAAGTAAATCCTTGCCTCCACCACCCCTAACCCCAGAGAGCAATCTAGCTCCTGTTTTCACACATTTGCCTTTCTGGACAGTTCAAGTAAGTGAGAATAGTGGGCTTTGTGCTTGGCATTTCAAATGCAATGTTCTTGGAGACCCCTCTTATTGTTGTGTTCGGCAACCCTTTATAGAACACACCGGGTAGTGTTTCCTCTGACCAGGCAGCTATACCTCTATTCATAGGATATACTCATTTTGTTCAGGTGTTCATCTGCTCACAGCCGCTGGGCTTGTTTGCTAGCAGTTATGACTGATACTTAGTGAACATGTATATGCAAGCCCATGGCTAGATGTAGATGTTCATTTCTCTTGGGTCTAGATTTATGAGTTGCATTGCGGTCACATGGTAAATTTATATTCAATATTTAAAGAAACTGATAAACGCTTTCCAGAATGGCTGCGCCATTTTGGATTCCCTCCACCAATGTGTGAGCATTCTACACGGCTCTCTAGATTCATTTTATGTGGGGCATATGAGAGAATTTGAGCTCCACCATTGCGCTGTGTTGAGGACTCTATTTGAAATATCGTTCCATGACTACTTACACAGTAGCAAAGTATAAGAAGGCCAACATCAGTTCCCACACTGGTTGCACATCAGAACCATCTGGGGACGCTTTCCTAGTGAGGGTGAGGTTCAGATCAGGTACTGAAAACAGCGAACATCCACTGTGGGCCAGGGCAAACAGACGCTGGGCTTTTAAAACTGCCAGGTGATTTCAGTGAGCCAGCTGATAAGCACTGATGAAAAACATCTCTTGTGGAGCCACCCAATGAGATAACGAGGCACACACTTAAGAGCTGAAGAAAGACACGGTCTACAGGACATACTGAATGGAAAGAACAAAAGGGATGGACTGTCTGGTCAATCGTGGCTTCTATGATTAGTTAGTTCCCTTATACATTTCCTGATATCAGTTCAACCATCTGGCCGTGAAGCAGAGCACTGATAACTGAAGGGTGTGGGATTAAGACGGTTGGTTTCTGAGACTTGAGCAGTTTAAAGTCAGTGGATAGTCAGAAAAGCAGGGGCAGGGGTGACTGGTGGGTAGCATCTGACACGGAGGAGTTGTCAAGACCCTGGTGGAAACATTCTTTTTTATATATAATTTATTATGATTTATTTAACTTTATTTTATGTGCATTGGTGTGAAGTTGTCAGATCCCCTGGAACAGGAGTTACAGACTGTTGTGAGCTGCCATGTGGGTGCTGGGAACTGAACTGGGAAGAGCAGTCAGTGCTCTTAACCGCTGAGTCATCTCTCCAACCCCCCTACTTTCATTCTTGCAATGGCCTTTCTTTTCCCTGGCTTCCAACTGAACACAGTCCCCTGCTTTGCAGACACAAGCATGTCCTGTTACTGGATTTCCAGGGAGTCCCTTTCTCCCTCTCCTGTTCGCTACATTGAGAGTTTCTGGATGGTGCGCCCCCCTCAGCCCCTTGTTCATGTTCTTCTTCCTTAGCAGTTTGCTCAGGGCCCCATGGTTTAAACAGCAGCCCTTAATCTGAGGAGTTCCTTGACCCTTTCATTTGCTGCCCTTAATCTGAGGAGTTCCTTGACCCTTTCGTTTGCTCCTCACTTTCCTGTTTCTTCACTAATAGTAAGTAGGTTTGGCACAGGGTCCTCAGGCCCATCTAGACTGGCCGCTGCACCTAGGCAGGCATGCTGGCCTCGCTGTGGCCAGCTTGTCCCCTGGCTTTTCTGTGGTCCGTCCTTGACTTTCACCTTTCAGCTCACATTTCGTGCCTGGGGCCTCTTTCCCGACCACCCTGTTTAGACTGCTTTCCATTCTGAGCTCTTTCCTGCGTGTGGACTTGCACCTATCCAGGTGATCCTCTGATTGTCCCTGTCTGCGCACACTGGGCTCCAGGCCACAGCGGAGCAGGACTCACTTCCGGTTTTGCTTGTGTTTCATCCCGGCTTTAGCCGGTGCTCAGATTATTCTTTCGTTCCTAGGACCCACAGGATTGGAGTGGAAAGGCGTAGTAGACTAGACTTCATCTACCCCAGCGTTATCTACCTGAGGAAACCATTATCTAAATGGTTAGAGGAGGGGTTGGTGCAGGGCCGTAACGCTGGCAGAGGGCCCAGTTGGTACAAACCCTTACTTCTCTCTGGGCCACTGATCTTTCCACCCCACCAAGCCACTATTCAGTATGGATACTGCAGTAATAGCATCTGCTCTTCCCTCCCCTTCTCTTAAGTGAATCATAAGAGCTGTGGGTGGTATTTAAACTGCTTTTGTGTGTGTTTGATTCAATAACAATCATCAAACCATTGGTGGCCAACAAAAATCGTGTCTTTGAAGAAAGGGATTAATGCCGTTTTAAGGACTCCTATCTCTTATTGTCTCACACAGGCACCTGACAAAGCTGGCCAGTGAACTCCAGGGCAACTCCTTCCCTGAATCGCCGAGGCTGAAGCCCAATCAAGAGAAAAACTATGCAAAAGGCTCACAAACCTCATGTTTCCTCTCTGGAAAGAGCTCACTAGGGAGAGCTGCAGTCCCATGTCTTTCTTTGCAGCAGGCGATCATTTTCTGCTCCATCAGGTTATCCTTTGATTATCCAAACTGATTGGGACGGGATCCCTAGGCGGCTTTCTCTAGTTTTCTTTTGTGCCGAATAAAGCAAGGAGCGCCCTCTGGTGGTCAGCGGTGGAAACGTCTCGAGCGGGAGCGACGCATTCCGTAGATAAGAATCCCTGAGTTCCTGGACTCCCCTCATCTCAAAAGTCGTTAAAACCACCCCAACAAAATGGTTTACACCGCTTTATAACTACCCGATATTTCTGAAGCTATGCTTATTCTTTTACATCCCCTGTTGCCACAGAGCCCTGACATGTTGCAGAATGCAGGTGCGCCTTTGTTAATCTGGCACACAGTGAAGAGGAGAAAGGAGGATCTGAGGGAGCCGTGAACGTGGCTTCTGTAGGAGGGATTCTGAGCTCTATTAGATAGCTCTGTGCTTTCTAAATAACCAAGAGGGCAAGGCGAGTCTCCTGAGTGTACTGCTGGGACCAGGGGCCTGGGACTAGGGCAGGTAATGGAATGTTGGTAATTGCTAGGCTTGGGCTATTCGCACACCTATACGGCTTGGAGACGGCCAGAAGGAAGTGGGTGACATATTCGTGATATGTATGAGTGTTCAAACTCTCTCACCAAGCAGCCATGTTAAGAAATACAAACTGTGCTTGAGGCGGGAGGAGGTCTGAGCTGGTGGAATGGGCTGGTCATCACAGATTGGGCAAATTGGGCATTTTTAAGAAAGAACACAATGGGATTTCATTTCCAATTCTCAAAATACTGGAACTATCTCTTTTTGCTTAGCCCCTAACCCTTCATTAAAAATTCTGGATTATGCTGTTTTATCAATTCTTATATTTAGTTTTGTGATAATGTCCTAGGCCTTTCAAAAATAATGCAAAAAAAGTCAAAATTTCTTCAAAAACCTTTTTTGAAAATCAGGTTTGAAGGAGCTAAAACTCAATGACAGTCACTTTCTGACGGCAGTCTGGTCACATGTTCTTGCTCTGTGCACAGATGATCTCTAGTTACACCTGGTCATTCCCATTCCGCTGGGAACACGGCAGAGTTCAAAAGAGGGAGGGATGTTACAACCACATTTAATTTTGAATACAAGTCCGTCATAATCTGCAGAAGTGACTTCTTCATGCACAGAGACATTTAGCATCTCTGGCTGGAAGAAGACATGTATTTATTTTTCTCTGAAAACACTGAGGTAACTTTAGTCTCTGTGCCTTCTGGTGTCTAGGCAAGCCTGTCTTATTCTTTGTATTTCCCATTGCTAGGCTGGTTGGGGACAGTAAATGTGAAGCCATGAGAGTATTTAGGGCTGCTTCATTTAGGGATCACTTGAAAGCAAGTTTTACCTGTATACATCAAAGACGCCAGGTAACAAATCCTACTATACTCCATCCATTAATGCTGAGGATCTCGGTCAGAAACTGGCTGACACAGTGGAGAAAATAGCTCGCGATTCCAGTTGCACAGCAAAAAGAAGAGGGCGAAAAACCCAAAGTAGGCATTTGCTGTTTTCACACCCTTACACTGCATTAATTGATGAGCTTGCGTCTCACACAGCAGAACATAAACATTGCTTGCGTGTTTATTTGCACATAACACCTCTAAGCATATAGCATCTACACTTTCCTCATATTTACAAATTCAACAGAATATCTACATAGAAAAAGCTTTACTTAAAATTAAACTTGATGCAAGTTATGAGAAACCAATTTATTGGCAAGTGAATTTGAGCATCCCTTCAACCATAGGTTGTCATAGATTTTTATATTGGAGGTAAGTCATTTCATACACACCGTTTATGACTATGGTAGGGTATATGCATTTATTCTTTAGGCTGCAGCTGTAATCCCTTTGACTGCTGGCCTAATTAAGCGCTTGTCAGATTTTGCAGATTCTGGAGTGTGCCTGTTGCAGTTTGCACATACACTGTTGAGTGCTGCAGTTTGGAAGCTCATATAGGTATACTGGAATCTCTGTTCGCATGCTGTTCTGTGTTTCAGTTCTAGAATCAGGTGTTTTTCATCCATTTTTAACCTCAATTTTCTTCTTCGATATAGCTTGTTTGGCTAGAAACAACAAAAGATCACAGGCCCATCATGCTCTCAGGCTGATGACAAAGCTTTCTTTGCTTTTGATATTTATAGGGGAAAGCCCCTTCAAATAAACTTGTTTTTACTTTCCCAGCTTTCCAGCACTTCGGTTCTCACTGCCAATGCCTTTTTAAAGTCCCTCCCTCCCAACAGCAGTCGCACAGGATGGAGCTGCTCAGATTGGCCAGTCTAGATAGCACAGGCATCAGGGAATGCTGAGTGTCTGAAAGCACTGCACGAGGCTCGCCCTGCATCTTCTAGACTAAGATCTGAAATCTAACTTGAGAGTTTTGTCTTCCGTTCTTTCTGTATGGCACACATGCCAGAAGGGATCACAAAATGTCACGTTTATGCCCCCAAACAACTGGACACAGAGAGCGTAAGAAGTGGGACACTGCCACTGTAACCTGGAGGGTTAAGAAGCGTAGGAAGTAACAGGAGCAAAGAAGAGGTGGCGGAGCCTTGGTGAGCATTAGCAGATGTGTCTGTCATAATTAATTCACATAGGAAGTATTTACTGTACACACTGTTCCTAACAGTCTCCCGGAAAGACTAACAACAGCTAGACATAGTCACGAGTTTCACAACAATGTCCACAGAGACATTGGAGCTCTAGAGAACGCTACAGGAACACTCTCCACAATAACAACGGAATTCATATTTAGGGTTCAGCTGAGGATAGTGGCACTAAGTACCTGACCATGTCGCCATCACATCCGCGGTGTGGCCTCAGTGCGGCATGTTTCATGCAGCTAATGGAGCTGTATCCCGCACAGGGAATGATGGGAGCTGTGGATGATGTTGGATTGTTTTTTAATCAGTTCCAAGGAAATTGAGAAAACTCACTCTGAACAACAAAAAGTATGCGCGTTGCACCCCAGTTCACATTAACGTATCGCGTGACTGAGTTCTGTTCTCGCTTTGCTCTCATAATACTCACAGACAGCAGAAAGCATCCTTTCTACCCACGTGTCCACAGGCTGAGAGGGACGAGAAGAGCTCAGGAAAGACATTCCAGAGAAATGGGACATTGGCGCAGAGCCTAAAGACTTAAACGAAGGAGTTCATGGCGTTGACAGGTGAGGGGGCCTCTGAGCTCTCATTGCCCTCGGCTGGTTCTTTCTCTTTCTTACCGCTGTATTGTCCAATAAAGGAGCCATCCTCATTGAACTGGCCATTCACCCCCTCGCCATAGTCAACCAGGCTATCGTCACTATCCTCTTTTTTCACAGTCCTGTCTGAAGGTGTTCGGCTTCCTTTTTTCAAAGGCTTGTGGTCTTCTGCATCGCTGGGAAGAAAAAGAAAAAGAAAACAGAAAACATTTCGGTAAGACTGGCATTGATTGCGGCGAAGCGCCTTGTTTTTACAGATCGTGCATGCAAATCATGAAAAAGCATATGGAGTCCTGAGCTGCCGCGGCCAAATCTAACTGCCAGGTGGACTCCAGAGGCGAGGGCTCTACCGCGATGGAGATCAGGCACAGAGATGGTTGGATCATGGTCTGCAGCGGAGAAGATGGCTTTTCGATCGTGCGTGCTAATTTAAATGAGAGATTCCGATGCCTGATTGGAAGGCAATCCAGGAGCAATCACGAGCATTAAAGGGGGGAGGTTCAAGGACAAGAGAAACCCATCACTGTTTCAATTCAGAGGAGCAGGGCAGAGCTCAGGACAGTGGCCAGTTAGTGTGTTAAACTGTAGAACATCTCTGATTCCTTGGATGCAAATGGAGCATGATTTTGGTTATATGTGAAACATGGATTGTTTTTTCCTAAGCCAGAAGGAGAAGCAGAATCCTGCAGTTCAAATAATTTTGTTATTGAGTGCAGGCCAGGTTCGTGAACTTCCGCCTTACCTTTCAAAAGACCTAGAAATCCATTAAAAGGAGGCAGAGGAAACAAATGAGAACAGCCTAAGAAGAGAAGCACAATCCTTATATGGATAGGTAACAATATTTTTTTTCTGAAGAATTTTTTGGTCAATTGGTAAAGATTTATTAATGTGGAAAGATAAACACTGTACATTAAAAACACTATACTTGAACCGTAACCAAACATTAAAGGGGGTGAGTGCTTCCAAACTCACAAAAACAAATATGTCTTATCTTCTGATTAACCAGTTTCTCACATCTCCTCTGTGCTATGCACACACTACAGGGTCCAAGGCTTGTACTTTGGCAAAGCATTATGGGAGCCTATTATTATTTTGCTTATTTCTTTGCTGAACCCTTAAGCATAACTTCTGAAAACAAAAGAGTGTTTAGTGTGTTTAAGAATGTCCACAAACGTGGCCACATATGTCATTGAATTTAAGATCATCCACTAATAGGGTCATATACATAGGGACAGTGACTGACTCCTTCACAGGTAACATTTGGGAAAAAATAGCCAAAAAACTGTGTGAAATAGGCTCTTACTTGTCTAAGAGCCCTGATGTACTTGATGTACAAAGGGGTCACTGTAACTTTAGTATTTTAACAAAAACTGGTGCTAAGATCATTGTTAGTAAGACTGATTTTTTTTTCCTAGTCAAGCTCCAAGATTTAAAGATAAATAAATCTGTCTCCTTTGGCAATACCTTCTTCTAGCAATCTCCTAATTTTCTCTCCAAGAAAAATATGTCCAACTTTGATGTGCTATCAAAAATGACCTGTTCAGCTAATACACAAGTACACACTGCCATCTGAACAATCTGCACAACTTGATGACATCAGAGGTCATTGAGGTGGCCTGTTGAGGGGAGCATTTCAGAGGACATAGCACCCACAAAACCCAACTTATTATAAAAGCAGCTTACATGACATCTTTGAGATTTAGCTGTGAACTTCTGTACTTTGCTTGAATATCTCTAATGTGTATGCCCCTAAAGAGTTCAATGACAAGCAGCATTTTGCCACCCGAGTTCCACTTATTACTCTACTTAGTGGAAATAACAGCCCCAGGAATACATTATAGGAAGATGCTCATTATGTCATTTCTTTGATCCTGTCTTCCCTTCATCTAACATTCACTAAGTACCTACTCTAAGACAGATGTCATTCTGGCTTTGTGGATATAGAAACAAACAACACAGACTAAAATGCTGACCTTATAACCAGTGGGGTAAAGTGTAGTTAATAACCAACATGGTAGGGAAAATTCATTATGCCAAATGATCAGTACTGCAGAGAATCTAGAATTGAGTAAAGAGAATGGAAGAGGAGGCGGGGCTGACAGAAGCTATCCAGGGAAGGTCTTGTTCAAAAGCACCATCTGACCAAGGGTCTAAGAGCTAAGTTGGCCATGGATGACTAGAGCAAGCTCAACTATGGCAAAAGCATCAAGCAGCACAGATGATCTGTGGCAGGGCAGGCCTGATATGTTCTAGAAACAGCAAGGATCTTGCTGTGGCAAGAATTGAATGAGTAAGTGAGAAAGAGAGTAGTTGGAGGTGGAAGGTGTAGGCCAGGGTTTCATGGACACTGACAAGCCTCTGTTTAGGAGATGGAGGCGCTGGGGGGGGTGGGGTTTCATGGGTGAGAACTGCAGTCTGACCCATATTACTCCAAAAGCATGAACTCTGTCATCCAATGTTGACAGTAGTCTGCCTTGAGAGAAGGGGTTGACAAACTCCTGCAAACTGGAGCCACACCCACTTGTGACTTCTTTACTGTTGATGCTCATGGCCCCCTTTCGGCTACATCAGTAGAATTGCAGGTAAGACTATGTGGGCTGCAAAATCTAGAACATTGGCCAGGGGCTCTTGAAAAGGGAGAGTCTGCAAAGCTCTGCAGTAGAGTCATGAGATTATTTCCATCATTTGGGAGAGAGATGACTCTAGTTTGGACCAGGGTGGCAGGTTGAAGAAGTTTATACAGAGTGTTAAGCTTGTGGTCGTATTTTGGAAATAAGAGAAAGGAGGACTTCCTGATGGATTGGTTATGGAGCAACAAGGAAGATGAAGGCATAAGGATGTCTGGAAGAAACCAGAAGCTTGGCATTACTCCCATTCACTGTGCCGCAGAGCATGCTCAGAAAAAGATCCAACGTTTGACTTGCACTTGTTAAAGCTTGTCCATGTCAGAAGCTCTGTAATAATGTTGTGGAACATTTTAATGACAATGATATTTAAAACCAACAAAAATGCCACAAAAAAGTCAAGCTATAGGCGGATGCAACTCATGAACTTCGACAAGGAGACCTGAACTTACAACAAGTCAAATGTAGACAACCACTGAAGAGATAAAATAGCATATACAAGTTTAGGATCAAGTTTAGGAATGCAAGTTTGACTTAGAATGAAAATATAATTTATGAAATTTAGCATTTTTACTTTTGTAGAAAGAAAGTAAAACCATTATCATCACAGTAGATTTAAGGAAAAGAATATGACAGAGTTCAACACTCATTCATGAAGAAAACTTTAATACCCTAGAAAAGGAAAGCTTGTTAAGGATGCCTATGTGAAAACTATAGTAAACAGAATCCTTGATGGCCACTGCTGAACTGTTCTGCTTGGAATCATAAATAATGGTAAGGATGGTCTTGTCTCCTCTTCCTTATCTCTCTCTCTTCCTTTTACTCATCCTCTCCCTCCTTTATGTTTATGAGCCTAACACTCTCAAACTTGCTATGTAGCTGAAGATGACCTTGAACTTCTCATATTCCTGGCCTTGCCACCCAAGTGCTAGGAATACAGACATGGGCTACCACATTTGGCTGTTTTCAGCACTACTAATGAAAATTACCCAGGAGTATCAAGCAATACAATAAGAAAAAGCAATAACATTTTCACACACCCATCAAGTTGTTGGTAGTTCTCTATATCCATCACTAGATTATAAACTCCCAATGAGGGGCCAAATTCTATTGTGCTCAAGTTTTCTAAGGTCTATAGTACACACTCTAAAAACATCTATTGGGTAAACTTATGTTAAAATTACAATAGAGGAAACCAAGATATGCTTTAGAATTCTAACATTAAATTTTTTCATTCCTTCTTAATGTTTTAATAGCAGACAAAGCATTAGCTTGTATTTTTTATTCTTCCTTACTGAGAATACATTTTAGGGAGTTCATTCATTTCTTTCCCTGTGGTGCTTGGTTCACATCCATGAAATGTTTACCAAAATAAAAACCAGCAACCATAAATAAGTCTGATAATTACATATGATTTTCTTGCAGCAACCATCCAATTATGATCAAATTACACAACAGTGTTATTGACATACATGCATTCAAACCTTATGCTGGCACACTTTCAAAGTTCATCATTATTTTCTTACATCCAGTTCATATTTGTGAGCAAGATAAGCTTGAAGTATGTAACAAGTGAAACCGCATGGCTTGTATCAGCCAGACTTTGAGAAAGAGTTAGCAAGCTGGCAACAGGGCTGTGGTCATATGAATAACAAGATTCCCATAGCAAAATTCTCCATTTGAGCAGCAAATCACACAGCATAGGCATATACAGTTTACAGCCTAGGCTCACTCTTGTTTTTAAAGAGAATGCATCTAAAGAATAAGGAAATACTTACATAGTTGGCTGCACTGTTTCTTTGATTTTTCTATATGCTAGTAAGGATGCAGATCCTACTGTCTGTATAATTAAAGAGACAAACAAAGAAAGCTGCAGGCTTCTGAGAGAGGGTAGCTGCTTAGGGATGGGTGTTGGACTGAGGGTATGGGGATACAGTATATGGAAAAAATCAGATTTGGCCATTATGGGAGTTCTATCCCTCTTTGCACTACAACATTTTCTCTGGTTTGGAGCCAACCAGGTAGAATTGTTCCATCCTCAGACTAGAGAGTGTGTGAAACACAAATGAAATTAATTTACATTTTGGCAATAGTACTAATTGTGTGTCCGCATGAGACTAGCGTTATAGTTCTTTTTCAGAATTCTGGAGACTAAGATTCAATAAAAAAATACAGAGCTCGAAACTTCTAGCAGGTGCAAAGTAGAGAAAGGACCCCGGTGATTTAGGGAAAAGAATAACACTCAAATGTACCATTACAACAAATAATTCTCCATAAATAGTTGGAACCGTTTTCATTAATTATGACTCTCAGATTGAAAGGGCCTAAGTAAGAAGAACCAAAGGGAATAAACCTGAGGAAATATCTGAGTGCCTAAGGCCAAGGTCATATCTACAACAGCGGCCTGCAATCTGGGAGATGCAATTTCACATGAGTGATTCACAAACTTGAAAATTCATTCAAAATCACACCTCCAAGTTGTGCTTTGAGTTGAAGACATCCATCAGAACTTTATCTCCTTTGGCTTCTCCAGGATTAATGTCATTACATGAGTGACAAGGGTTTTTGTCTTCATGTCTATTGGGCTTCTATTCAATAGGCCCAAACGGAAAGTCTCTATATCCTGAGAAACTTTGGCAGAAGCCAAAGATAGCCATCTGAAAACGCTTCACAGACACAGCACACGTATGAATTAATGCTGAGACAAAGAAATGAGAACTGGTAGATGTAAATCTAGTCATGACTATGAAGATACAAGCTAGTACTTGCGATGTACTGCTCCGAAAACAGAACCATGCTGGAAACTGTCGGCTCATTCATAGAGAGTACAGCACTAAAAAAGCAACCTCTGAAGATGTTTGGATGCTAGAAATTTTGTCTACATGAGGATAATTGAGAAGGATATAAATTAGGTATCATAAAGGAATCAGAGGCAATGGCTAAGTTGAAAGAAAAATTAATAGCCTTTTGATTCCAAGCTAGTTCATAAGCCACAACCCTTACTTAAATCAAGGTTTAGTGGTGTTAGCCTAGTCACCCAAAGTCACATTGTCCTGGATCTTGGCTGCACATCAATATAATATCAATTATATGATATTTTGAGGGCTTTGAAATGAGCAGTACATTGCCACATTTGCTTACGCATGATAAGAATATGAATCCACCAGAATGTGAAGAATGCATGACATACAATGGCTTATTTCTAATTCATGCAAATGTATTTTTTTCTGTATTGAAGATGTAGCTTCATATCAATAAATAAGGGAATGGTGTGCACAGCCTGTATGAGGTCATAGTCACATAAACTTTACAAGGATGTCCTTTAATTAGTGTCAGCTCACCTGTGCGTGGGAGAAACAGGTAGAAAAGTGAGTTACACCCGTGAGGATTTTGCTCTTACAGAGTGAGACCCCTTGCCAAGGGCTATGCACACCGGGGGGCTGCTCTTGTGCACTATGGAAAACTGGTCATAGTGGGCGGGTCCTGTCTTAGGTTTGCAAACTCTTCGGGTTCCAGACCCAATACCTGGCATCACCATAACCCTTACAAGACATTGTTATGGTATTTTGAACTACAGAAATTGTGAGAGCTTTGAGAAATATCCGCTCTTTCTGTTGAGAAGGGGAGCAGTGTAGGTGCGGAGACACTGGAGGCCCAACAAGCTCACACCTGCATGGACACTGCAATGAAAACTCATGCTGAAATACATGGATTTTCTGAATCCACTTTACATTTCCTATGTTGGCATTGGCTGTGGTCCCCTTATGAATAATAATGACAAGGGAATACCAAAAAATGAGATACAGAGGCAGGTAGTACCTGATGCAAATATCTATCTACAAAGGTGCCTTGGATATCACAATAGTGAATCTTTTATTTCACCTAAAAGTATTTTCTTCTATAAAAATAGCCACAATATGAGCTTCATGTATATTTAGAAGATTATATTTTATGTTATGAATAACTAAGTTATAAAGGGTATTCCATAAGTAGAGTTATTTGAGGGCATTAAATACATGATAAAACTTACTCTGTTTTTAGTGATGTTCTAAAGTAATCATTCCTCTCTGTGAAAGACATGAAGTGTCAAGGCAAGAATAGTTTTGTGTGAAGGGAATTAAAAGAAGGTAGACAGGTTGTGCTAGATGCTTTTCTTAATATGGAGTTAAATTAAGATTGCAGAATTGGCATTCATTGAGTTAATGTTCACCATAAATGGCTGTGACAATTCTTAATAATTAACAGCTTCAAATTAGCCTATTTTATGGACTAAAGGTCAGGGGGATGGGTCTTATTAAAGAAAACGCTTTTATTAATCTGAGATTAGAAAGTCTTGGGGCCGGGCATGTAGTTCAGAAGTAGAGCACTTGCCTAGTCTGTGCAAAGCTCTGGACTTGGTCCTCAGCACACACATTTACATCCACTTTCTCTCTCCCTTGAAGCACCTACAAGACTGAGGTAGTGGGGTTGTGAGTCTGGAGCCAGCCTGGCCTATGTACTGAATCCCAGGCTTGCCTGAACTACATAATGAGATTCGGACTCAAAACTAAAGTGAAACAGAAGCAGAGGGCAGTCCCGCTAACATGGGTTTTATAAATGCATGTTTCCCTCACACTGTAAGCTGTGCAGGATTCTTCGTGTTCTCACTGCAACACAGTGACAATCCTAGGCTGAACAGCACAGCTCGTGTCTCCGGAAAAGATAATATTCTGATCCTAAACATATGACGACAATGGAAGTATTTTTTTACAAGGATACCTATGTTTTAATGACAAGCTTTTAGTCACAATATTTTAATCAAGAAGGAGGATATATTGACATGGACTTTTTTCTAAATTAATAACTGTCAGGCAGGGCCCACTAGTCATTCAAATCTGCTCTCAGAACTCAGCGAGTGTCTGAGGGTAGTGCCTAGGGGGGCAGGGAAAGCAGGGCCAGAAGGAGCAAGGGCTCACCTGTACTCTCCAAATGTCCCATCATCTTCCTTCATGGGCTGGATTTCAGGGTCTGCATGAGCATCCTCCTTCTCTTTAACTGAAAAATTTGAAGGACAGCATTACCCATTGATCCTGAACTTCCTTGTTTAGTATTTGCAGGGGCGGGCTGAGAAGCAGAGGAAGGATAATCTCTACATACGTAGATACCATGCAGACATGTTTCTGATGTGGCCTTGAGTAGGCTTTGATATTTACTAGATCAATGTACACATCAAGATACTTCAGTTTTTTTTCCCCAATGAAGAAATGATTTTTAAGTTTCTCAAATTTCTTCTATATTTTCCAGCCTATTTATGAGCATATTGATGGTAACAAACATTCTTGTAAACATGCTCTTATGTAGTGTTTTAAAAAAAATTAATGTTTTTAATCAGAGGATGAAATGGTCTAGTCAAGAAGACAGGAATTCATCAACCTTGCAGGGACCATAATGCAATGTCACACCAGTTCTTGTATTCTGAAAATTGTACACGCTGTCCCCTTCTTCTCCTGTAAAGTGATGTTAGGTCCTACTTCAGTATTTATAACCTTTTGGGTCCTATGGAAACAGGCTTCATTGGAGAACTAACTGACATATTTCTTCATGCACCCTAGGACCCATGATAGTCTCCACAATATAAAGAGGGGTCAAAATGGTTTGACGAAGAAATTCAACGTACGGCTCTAAGAAGATACGCTGTGCCCTTTCCTATCTCCATTATTCGTTTCAGTTTAGCAGATAAATCAGCAGCACTAGAAAGCATTTTGAATCCTTCTTACCTGGATATTTACCACCCTTGTTTCTTCTGACGAAGCAAACAATCAGCAAAATTAAGATGAGGAGGGCGACGGCACACATTAGACCTATGAACCAGCCCTGGGTCGCAATATCCACTTGCCGGCTTGCCATCGCTGCAAAACAAACCAATGGCAGCAGTAGGAATGGGTTAATGCCAAGGTCAGTTCCATGCTGGTCTCTTCATTAAAAAACAATTGCCACAGTATATGAGCCTTTATGTACTTTTCACAGGATTCCAAATTGGAATCTGTCAATCATCGTAGAGAAATGACAAACTTAACTTTAAAAAGCCTTCATTATGTAAACATTGAACTAGAGAAATCCCGACGTTAATGAGATTAAATACTGCCGCACCCTGATAAACACTAGATTCATACTTACTGAAGCTACACACTGTCAGCAGAACTGCATTCTCAAACCAATTAAAATCTATTATTTGGGAGTGTAAAGTGGATATGATGTATGAAAGGAATATAAAATTGAATTTTAAACAAAAGAGAATGCATACATCTAATGGAGTATTTTCTCTTCAAAAGAAACTACCTTGGAAGACTAAAATATCAGTGAAAGAATGAAGTTCTTTTTTCATTGTTTAGAAATCTCAAAAAAACAAAGGGGGGGGATAGAAAAGAAAAGAAAATGGCCCATGCAAGAAAGCCACTGATGAACACCAGAATTGTTATTTTACACAACACCTCCATTTCTGAATGGAAATCCTGAGAATATTAAATCTATTCTCAAAGTATCAGTAATTGTTATTGTCTGGGCTCTATTATCCAAAGAACCTCAAAATATATTTGATCAACAGAACCATTATTGGAATAAATGAACAGTTTGAAGAGAAAATACTCACTTACATGCATCCAATTCTTTACGTTTCCATCTATTCTGTCTGAGTAAATGATGTGAAACTTTTTTATTCAGCTACTCATAGTATGCAAAGCCCATAAGAATGGTTCGGTATTATGAAAAAGTGTCATCAACAATGGACAAAGTGCAGTATCAGTGGCTACTCAGACACACCCACAAAAATGGGTTTAAATGTTTGCATGAACCCTTTATTAAAGACCTTTGCTTTTTCTTTTTAAACATAAACGACATAGAAGGTTTTATTCTTCTGCATCCATACATATAGTGTGCCTTTAATCTGAGTTTCTTCTGAAAAAGTTTCATCATTGGGTTAGATGTGCATGGTCTCTGGATGCAGAAATAATCACAACCCAGGTTTCCCATAGGCTCCGAAAGTAGCATCGCATTGTGTCATTTTTGCCACAGGCGGGGGGAGGGGGGGATGGTTGAAATCAAGTGTGAAATGAAATGTAAAACAATGTCTGGAGATATGTTTAAGAGATATGATCGAGTGAGTACATAAATAAATAAATTAAAAAAAGAGATATGATCGAAATGGAAATATATTATTTGGAACATAAACTGAAGGCCAAAAGCCCCTTTCTGTCTCATTATTCAGAGGATTTTTTGAGCTGTACTGTACCCAGGCACATGTAGAACTTGAGTACAAACAGCTCTGGCTTTCATCCACATGTCACAGTGGTGGCAGTAGTGATGATGACATCAGTGGTGGTGGTGGTGATGATGTCAGTGGTGGTGATGATGACGTCAGTGGTGGTGATGATGATGTCAGCGGTGGTGATGATGGTGGTGGTGGTGGTGATGTCAGAGGTGGTAATGATGATGTCAGTGGTGGTGATGGTGGTGGTGGTGGTGATGTCAGTGGTGGTAATGATGATGTCAGTGGTGGTGATGGTGGTGGTGGTGATGTCAGTGGTGGTGATGATGACGTCAGTGGTGGTGATGATGATGTCAGTGGTGGTGATGATGGTGGTGGTGGTGGTGATGTCAGTGGTGGTAATGATGATGTCAGTGGTGGTGATGGTGGTGGTGGTGGTGGTGATGTCAGTGGTGGTAATGATGATGTCAGTGGTGATGGTGGTGGTGGTGGTGGTGGTGGTGGTGGTGGTGATGGCACTGGTCTTGCTGATGATGACATCAGTGGTGGTGATGATTTTGTCAGTGGTGATGATGATGGTGGCGGTGGTAGCAGTGGTGGTAGTGATGATGATAACAACAGCTAACAACTTGGACCACTCTTCTGTGCTAAGAACTGTACTGAAGGCAGGATGGATCTCTTTTAATCCTCACAAAAGTCCTCTGAGATGGGCATTATGACAATCCCAAAGCCAGAGAGGGTGAGAACAAGAGATGCCCCAAGAGTTGGAAGGGACCTAATGTCTGTCTGTCCTGTCTATCTTCAGTTAGTGAGCATGCTACTAAGATTTTTAACTGTCCTGATATAATGCATTCCCGAAAACATGTCCAGACACCAAATCCAGAAATGTCTGAATATATAATGAACTGCTTTAGAATAATCCATTTCAGAACAGGTAAATTATTTGAAAAATTCATTAAATTCTCTTTGGAAAAATAGTCTTGGCAATTTGTACAAGATCTCTGCACACTTTTACTCAAAACTGAGTCCCAAACCACATGACAAAAATTATGCTAATCCTGGGAGTACTTGATTATGGGATGCTTAATGAATTATGGCATTGTTATAAATAGTTTCAGCATTTCTATCTTACATTAACTCAAATGAGACTGGTGGGATAAAGATGTGAGATGCTCAAGAGTTAGCGCTGACACTGCCTTCCACAAATGGAGGCTTTCCCAACTGAGCCACTTCCCAGCAGCTACTCCTAAGGAGCTGTGCAAAACTGGCTGCTCCCTGGATAGCTGGCCAAAGGTTTTCATGTTAACTTTGAACTTTTGCTTTTATATTAAAGAAAAGAGTGCTTGGCATTTCTCCAATCTATTACTTAAGACTAGCCAATCATAACAAGTGAGCAGGTGTATACATTCATTCATACATACATACATACATACATACATACATACATACACACATAGACAGAAATAGACAGACAGACACAGGTGAAACCTAGGGCATTTTCCTTCTTGGAAAAAGGGGTTTGACTGTGAAATAACTCTCATAGCCCAAGTGTTTGAACACGTGGTCCCCAGCTGCTGTTGCTCTTTTGGGAGGTTTTCAAATCTTTGGGAGGTAAAACTTTGCTGAAGGAAGTGTGGGTCAGCAAAGAGAGGTCTTGGAGTTTTATTGCCTCGTCCCCCAATCCTAACTGCGTGCATTCTGGTCTGCCAAGTTGTGAGCAAGCAGCCTCAGGCCCTGTTGCAATAGCCACTTGCTACTCCTCTCACCATGCTGTCACTACCTTGATAAACTGGACTCTTAACCACTGACCAAAATAAACCCTTCCTTCCTAAGCTATATCCTGTCAGGTCACAGCAAAGGAAAAGGCCACTGACACAGGTGGGTATTAGTTATAAAGGGAAAGTAGATTTTCTTTTCATCTGGAATTTCTATAGTAAAAACATATGCTTGAATTATTGGCAAGGTGATAATTAAACTAACACATATAAGGAGTATGCAAATACAAAATAAGGCAGAGAAGTGAGGAGCCTTGCCTTGATGCCTAGAAGTTTCAGAACAGTTTGCTGTTCTTATTTTGCTTGGTGTGACATGGATAGCCTGTGCTGCAAGGTGGGATATCTCTGAGAAAAGTGTTCTTTGGTCCTCCAAATCATAGAGTGAGATATATGATTACTATTTATGAAGAATTCGCAAAGCGTGGAAATGTTCTGTCCAGTTAAAACAGTCAGAAATGGAAAGAATGAACTTGAAAAAAGCCTGAAGAATCAGCAGAAAAGAGTTGGGCCCAAGAACGGATCTGTCTTAAATCCCTGATGATGGAAGAGAGGGGCTCCACAACTGAGGGGTGACAGATAAGGAGGCCAGAAGGGCAGTGGTGAGGAGAGATGGGGCAGGAATAGAGCAGAACACCAGGCTCCCCATGGTCCTGCTGCCTTCTGTCTCAGTGTGTGCTGCCTGGCACAGGCGGTGGTATCCTAGTTACAGGCTTAAAGGTGGAGATAATACCATGTACCGAGAACTCTGCAGGGAAAGTTGAGTTCCTGGAACGCAGCCCATGGACAGAGTCAAGACTTAGCCAAATGGTTTGCTTCCCTATTGAATGTTGATGCCCTAGACTTTGAGGAAACAACCTAGTGCGGCGAGACAGTCAGAATAGCAGAGAGAGTGTCCACATGGAATACATTTCATGACCATAAGGACAGGGCCCTGCCCCTTGGGAGGAGGGGATTTGTTATTTTGGATCATTACTAGAACTTAATCAAAACTGCTCTTTCTAGTTGTCAGTGAGTAGGTAAAAGGTCGTGCCTCATCCTAATATTATCAGTGGCTTACAGTAATGTCCCATGTCCCTCTCGTTCCACTCACTCATCTTGAATAAAATTAGCACTTGCCACTGGGAAGGTAAACATCTCCCAATGAGGAAAATATTTTTTTTTAAAGAAGACATCTTTGGTTTTGCAAAACGACAAACACGATGTGAGCTAATTTTGGAAGTGAATTCAATTAATCTGTAATTTGGGAGGACATGCAGGCCTTAGAGGCTAAGAAAAGCACAATAAAGAAGTATGAAGGCTCATTGAAGCCACTGTTTCTGAGACAACCTGGTCCTTTAGAGGCAGGCTTCTGCAACTTTGTACAGTGACTGTGACTGGGGCCTCTCTCTGGGACTGGAAGGTCAGACTTCTCGTCCCAGCTACTCTACTGCAGCTGTCACTGAAGACTGGCACATGGTGCAAGTGGGCAGTCACAGTCCCCACTTTAGAGCAGTGCTATAGGAATGGAACGAGAAAAGCACTTGCGTGTCGTGCAGTAGGCTGACTAAATTCTGTATTTTATTCCTAGTCTAGCTTCTTGTATTCTGAAATTAATAATCACCAGTAACAACAAGCAAAGTCTTTCAGAGCCGAGTTATTCAGAAGCCCCCTTTCAGAATTAATTCCTTTCCTAAACTATGTATGTAAATGGATAGGAAATAGAAGGAACCGAATAACAGGAATTTTCTTAAAACATGCTGACTTTAGCAGATGTATCTTTAGAAAGACTTATTTGGTAAATTATTTAGTACTAAGTTTGGTTTCTTTCTCTTTTAAAAACTTTCCTAGGTGAGTATTTTTAAATGATAAGAAATTACTTTAAAAACCATGTTTTGTTAATTCAACTAGACACTCCATCTTGTCTTTGGTTCCTACAGACATAGGTATGTAACATCTCATCAAGAATGTGTGTCATGACTCAACAGAAGATGGATGTATGAACTATAGGATGAACACACACCAAACGGTTCCTGCTTCAATCTGAGAAAGCAGAGATTATTTTCTATACTGGCAGTAAATATTTAAATAATAAGTATTATTTAAATATATAAATAAATAATAAATATTATTTTATTTACATTTTATAATCTTTTTAAAACTTTGCTTTTATCCTAGCAAACTCTGAATAGTATTAACAAAACTAAAACACATATAAACAGGCAACTTTTGCAATAAAATACAATATTAGATTTATAGAATTTCTTTTGTATAAACTTAATAACACTGTATTGATCATCTAACCATGTTGGAGGGTTCTGCTGGGTTATAATCCATTGTGATATAAAGAATTTTTACTCTCTTAGATATAATTCCAACCTAAAAAGCATTTCAAACATTAATGTCAATTTAATTCAGGGAAATTTTAAATATGGAAATTATTAAAAAATTGAATTCTCCATAATGTAAGTGAAAATTACACTTCAGTCTTTTAAATGGTTTTGGTCAAGAAGGTCAATAGAAAAGGGATCTTCCCAATCTTGTAATTCATTTAATGAAAGAAGCCAAACATAATTAAAATGCAAATTCCCAACCCAACAGGGCCCCACACATGAGATCCATAGCCCTGCGAGCTCCACCCGCATCAGCCTCTGACTAGAGTGTCTGTTGTCTTCTACTCCTGAGCATGAGCCAGAACTGGGGTGGTGTGTGCCTCACCTGGGCCTGTCTCAAACACATCCTCTGAACTCACAAAACCAGAGTCCCCCTCAGCACCAACTCGCACTTTGTATGCTGTTCCTGGCATGAGACCCTTTAACCCAAAGAAGCTTCGAGAACCATTTACAAGTTCCTTCCTCCATTCTTCTTTGCCTATGGAAATTTTGCAAAAACAAAAACAAACAAACAAAAACAAATTTGAACATTTTAAGGACCAGAAGTTACTTAATTCTTCACGAAAGGAAAATTGTCTCTTAAGTAAAGATTAAAACCCCAAGTGTGAATAAATGTATCATTTTAGATTATTAAAGATCTAATTGTGTCAAATAAATCACTTAAAATGAGGAGCTAAGTGAAAATACCCTCAAAAAGAAACCTATTGGACACCTAGTGTGTAAACAAATGCACAAATCCCATCCTGGCCATTAAATCTTTTGATACAAAGAATACTGCCTCTTCTGCTCTTGCCTCACAAAATGGCTGAGTTTCTCCCAAGATGTTTGCATTAATAACTATTACAAATTAAGTAGCTACAGTGAACTATGAGAAATGTTTATAAAGATTTGTAAGAATAATCTTTTGGTAAATTTAAATGCCTTTATATCCAAGTTACAGATTCAACATTTCCCAAGTATTGATTTTTCCGAAGGGATGGTTGTTTGCAAAAACATATATTTGCCCGATAAAGGCCTGAACAGGAAGTTGAATGGTGTCGAACATTTTGTCAGATGTTTATGTAAGCATTCATTGGCCGTTCAGCCTGTGACATGCAGAGCCCACTGCACTGAGAGAGGGGTGGGTTCTCATGAGTCACTGGAATCTCAGCCCGCCTGCACCTTCCAGGAAACGTGGCTATATGCAAACAGAGCTGACTCAGGAATACATAAAACAGCAAGACAAAACAGATGCGTCTACAATTTTAATTTTCTTCCATTTACTCTAAAATTTGGTTGGGTTAATTTGGGTAAAACGAATTCTTTCCTTTCAGTTTGATTTCTACTGCTAGAAATTTCAGGTTGAAAAAAAAAAGTTGTCTTATGTGTACTTAAATGTTATTAGTTTTGTCTACATGTTATATTTACAGAACCAATGTAAAGATCTCTGACATGAAAAATAACATGCAGTGAGCTTCTGACCCTATCAGTAACAGAGTATTCGTATTTATACATGAAATAGAGGCTTGCAGTTCACTATGACTTTATTCTAAGGATGCTGATTCTCTTGGTAGGATCAAGTTATTTTTCAATGTGGCCCATGGTAAATCCTAAACATTATTCTTAGTCTCCTAAAATGTGTCCCCCAAATTGAAAGCAGGGTAATAAATCATGTCTTACTGCCTGCTACACCATATTCAACATAAAACTTCACATGCTCTGGTCCCTCATATTCCCAACTGATATTGGCATACGTCTCAGCGGCTGCGGCAGAGAGATTGCTGATCCTGGGGTTTACTGCTCGAACTAAATACACAACAGAAAACAAAACAAACAAAACACACAAACAATCATATTGCAGCACCATACACACTGATTGAAAGATCAAATAATCGGAAGTTGTGCAAATAAAATATTAGAATTTATTATAAAAAATAATTTAGAGTTCATGCATCTTCACTTTTTGTTATAGAAAGATTCTCTCAGTTACTAAAATAGTATAATAACCATAAATAATGGCATATACTATTAAAATTATGAATTCTAGTACATGGTTTCTAAGTAATGCAAACTGCTTCGCATTAGATCCAGTCCCAGTAAATATAACTGTCTTCATTTACTGATGGATATTGGGGGTTAATGAAGAGTTCTGAGTACAGAATTCATTAGAGTGTTTAGAGATATCCAGGTACCATCAGGTTACTTTTACATTTTATTTAGCTTCTCAGTGAAGGTCTCCAAAGTATGTTTGTTGGGAGGAGAGAGAATATTCTCTAGAGTAGTGACTTCTGACCTGTCTTGAGTCACAGACTGAGAATCTGAGGAACTGAGAAACCCATGTGTTAGGGGATAGTGAGTAGTGAGGGCACGCAGGAAGAACAAGGACAAAGGGGGTGGCCAACTATGCTCGCTGGAGGCTGAGAAGCAATAGAAGGAGCGGGAACTAGCTGACCTACTACATCCCAGAGAGTGACAGTCTTGCCTGGTATTGGTTACATAGCATTTCCTAAAGAGCATATAACAGAGGGAACGGTTTCTAAAACTTCAAATTAAAGAGCTACATGATGCTCCCATTTGCTTACAATGGAGTAAAAAACACACGTGAAGTAAGTACAAGTGTTGAGTATCTCCAGGCTAATTCTGTCAGGCCACCCGAATAGCCTCAACTAAAAGTTAGAACTACAGAAGCTAAAATGATCAGATGCCTTTGCCACCCCAGAGAATTTATATGGGCTATGAAATCAGAGAGCACTGAGAGGTTTCATCAGACTCTAAAGTTAAATTCCCAAATGTGATATAATTTAGAAGATCTGTGTTAAGTGCTGTGTAAAGGAGTGGCATTTCCTGGGATCAAAATGCAGTGTGTGGGGAGGAATTTGGGCTACGGAGGGATGGTAGAGAAGTGTGTAATGCATACATGTATGGTATTGTCTAAGAACAAATGAAATTAATAGAAATAAAAAAATTGAAAGGCATACTAAAGAAGTTAAATAACACACTTGGCCTGTGAAATATAACTGAATCACAATTCATATTTTGTGGTAAGCAAAAGGAATAGCAGAGGGCAAAGTGATTTCTGAATTACAAAGAAACAATTTTAGTTTTCCCAGATTTCTTCTTAAGTAGACAACAACAAGAAAATAATCAAGAGAGGGAGTTACATAGGCCTGTGTGTAAACTATCACCAGCCAGAGTCTAGAACACACCAATCAATTTCTTATAAAAAATAATCTTGAATCTGGGGCTGGGACCCAGCGGGGAGGGTGTTTTCTGATGTGCATGATGCTCTAGGTGTGGCCCCAGCAGGGCATCAAAGCGGGTGTGGCGGCACACTCCTGCCATCCAGAGCTTAGAGGTCAGGAGCCCAAGGTCGTCCTCAGAGACACAGGAAGCTCTAGGCCACTCTAGGATACAAGGCTAGCTTAGGATACAAGAAATCATGCCTCAAAAAAAATGATTATGACATCACAGAAATAAAGAATTTAGTCTTGAATAGTAGAAGTTTTCAGAAAGCAGAACCATAGCAAAATAATTTTAAACAAAGGGTATCTACATTGTTAAAGCTTAATTTAAAAAAAATTTGTGTGTGTGTGTGTGTGTGTGTGTGTGTGCGCGCGCGCTCAGGTATGCACACAACATGGCACATGTTCAGAGGTCAGAGAACAAGTTGTGGAAATTGGTTCTCTCTTTCCACCATGTAAGCTCTGAGAATTGAAGTCAGGTCATCAGCTTGGTGGCAGGCGCCTTTGGCTGATGAGTCATCTAGGCAGCTCGAAAACAGTGGTGTCTATGAATATTCATTCATAGCATTCAGAACTTCAGTAGCACAGAACTATTTTGCCAGCACCAGAAAAGTGGAGGCTGGAGGATCAGAGATAAAGGTCAATTTCATCTATATGATGAGATTGGGTGGGATGCATGAGACTATCTCTAAAAATAAATATTCATTTCTGTTTCCTTCCTCACATTTCTTCTCTGGATTGTTTTGACATTTAAATTTTTATTCCCAGCTTTCCTGGAATTAAATTAGCGTCCTGAAGATGTTTCAGTCCCCCAGTGCTCACTGAAGCACTCATTGTGAATAAAGACAGGGAAACGAATGACAGATGGGCAGGTAATGGTGACTGGCATATAATGAAGGAATATTATGCAGTCTTACAAAAGAAGAAAGTCCTATCTGCAGCATAGCAAATCAAAGGTCATTATGCTATATGAAATAAACCAAATTCAGAAAGAAAAATTTCTAATTATATATGGAATCTAAACCAGTCAAACAAAAATAGTGCAGAAAGGTAACTGCTAGAAGCTGGAGAGGGGTGAGAAAATTGGAAGATGGTAATCAAAGAGTATGAACTCCCAATTTTAAGACAGATATATTTTGGCAGTCCCCAGAAGCCAGAAGTTGAAAGACCGGCCTGTAGGCTGCACCACCACTGCCACCACACCATTGGATTATGTTCCCCCAAGACCTACTCTACTGCCCAACCCCACCCACCTCATCATCAGCCTGTGGCCAACTCTGCCCTGCAGCTCTAGAAGACTCCATAGGCACAGGTACAACCCACACCATTTGGGAGAACAGATGCAAAATCTCCAGTGTAAGAATACATTCAGCAACAGAACATGCAACCCAAGAAAGTTCACTGCACCCACAAAAACACAGGCAATAGATAACATCACACCAGCAAAACACAAAGAAGGAAAAACACACACACTACCACCACCACCAAAACCAAAACAATAACAGGAATTAAGAATCACTGGTCATTAACTTCTCTTAACATCAATGGACTAAATTCACTACTAAAAATACAGAAGCTAACAGAATGGATCTGAAAACAGTATTCATTCTTCTGCAGCATACAGGAAATATACCTCAACTTCAAGGACAGAGTAAAGGATTCGGAAAAAAATTTCTAATCAAATGGACCTAAGAAGCAAGCCAGTGTAACTTTGTTAATATCTAACAAAATAGACTGCAAACTAAAATTAATCAAAAGAGCTAGAGAAGGACATTTCATATTCATCAAAGGACAAATGCATCAAGATGAACTCTCAATTCTGATCAGCTATGCACCAAATACAAGGGTACCCACACTTATAAAAGAAACATTACTAAAGTTTAAATCACATATCAAACCTCATATTAATAGTGGGAGACTTCAATGCCCCACTCACACCAATGTTTAGTTTCCAGACAGAAACTAAACAAAAAAATAAGGGAACTAACAGATGTTATGGACTTAGATATTTACAGAATAATTTACCCCAACACAAAACAATATATCTCTTTCTCAGAACCTTATGGAACCTTCTCTAAAACTGACCACATACTGGGTCACAAAGCAAATCTCAACAAATACAAAAAAATGTAATAACACCCTGTATCTTATCCAATCAGCATAGATTGAAGTTGGAGTTCAACAACAACACAAACCACATAAAGCCTAGAAACTCACGGAAACTAAATAACTCTCAACTGAATTACCACTGGGTCAAGGAAAAAATAAAGAAATTAAAGTCTTCCTAGAATTTAATGAAAATGAATGCATAACATACCCAAACTTACGAGACACCATGAAATCAATGCTAAGAGGAAAATACACAGTACTAAGTGTCTACATAAAGAATTTGGAGAAATCTCACACTAGCAACTTAACAGCACAACTGAAAGCTCTAGAATAAAAAAGAAAACACACACAAGAGGAGTAGATAGCAAGAAATAACCAAACTCAGGATTGAAATCAATAAAACAGAAACAAAGAGAACAGTGCAAAGAATCAATGAAACAAAGAGTTGGCTCTTTAAGGAAATCAACAAGGTAGACAAATCCCTATACAACGCAACAAAAAGCAAGAGAGGGAATACCTGAATTAACAAAATCTGAAACCAAAAGGGGGATATAACAACAGATACTGCGAAAATTAAGAGACTTACTGAATCATATTTCAAAAACATGTACTAAACAGAATTGGGAAATCTAAAAGAAATAGACAATTTCTTCATAGGTACCACATACCAAAGTTAAATCAAGACCAGATAAACAATTTCAATAGAGCTAAGGAAATAGAAACAGTCATTAAAAGTTTCCCCACCAAAATAATAATAATAAAACTTAGAATTAGATGATCTCAGCACAGAATTCTACCAGAATTTCAAAGAAGATCTAATACCAATACCACTCAAATTGTTCCACACAATAGAAACAGAAGAAACAATGCCAAATTCTTCTTATGAGACTACAGTTGCCTTGATATCTAAACCACACAAAGATGGAACAAATAAAAAGGATTACAGGCTATTTTCTCTCATAATCATTGATGCAAAAATACTAAATCAGACAAGGGAATGGATCAGAATAAGCTCCCGAAGATCCTCAATATTCTCTGCTGATTTATTCATACTGAGGAAATAAAAGGAAAACTCTAAGCATGTGCAAATCCCTGGGGTCAGTCTCTATTATCACTTGAGAAGTGATCATTTGGCCACTTTAATTCATCATTGTTAGACTGAAAAAAAAATACCTTGGAAGAAACATTCAAAATTACAAATTGAATTTAAATATCACTATGGTAAAATATCATTTTATATAGACAGCATTAATATTGTACTATTAAAATACTGAAAATGACATCAGGTTCATCATTTTTCTTATCTAAATATTATTCCTTTTATTATCTGATACCCATTAGATTTCACACTGAGGACTTAATTTGCTTTTGTTTAATTGTTAATTCTACTTTTGGTTTTTTTCTTATATTCTTTGTCCACAGTTGAATTTATTACAACCAAATGAAAAACAAAACTATTAATAAAGATGTATTTAGTTTGAGTTTCTTTTTAAAAAGAATTCATAAATATGACCAGTGGGGAGCTCAGACTTGCTTCATTGTCAGCCCCAAGGAAGCAAAAGTTCTTGGCTGGCATTGGCCATGGCCACAGGGACATGCTTGTCACAGAGGGGCAGTCGGGCTTTCCGAGGGAGTCTTGAGTTAAAGCGACATAGCCTAATTTCCCATAAAACTACCCATCGTTTTAGTTGATAATTATCCAAGAAGAGAGATGTGCCTATAAAACAGAGTGACTCTAAAATCCACCTTATATACATTTTGTAATTCACCAAGGTTTTGAATATAAGCAGATTTTATAATAAAAATTAAGTATAAGTCTAAACTCACAATAGTGGACACACTTAAGACAAGACCCCCTGGTTCTCTTGTTCTTTTCCTTCACTGCTATGCACACTCGTCCAGTCTATTACAGCCCAAGGCAAGTCCTGGCTGTGGCTACTTCTCTGCTTCACTTGGAAACAGCTCAGGGAGGCAGGAACATAGCTGCCCCTAAAAGCTGACCCTGGTGGACCAATAGCCAGGGATCAAAGATTGGGGTGGGTGCTGTGGTACTACCACAAGTGGAAGATACATCACAAGTGATCAAACATCATTCTCCCAGCAAGTCTTTGGAATACAGAGAGCTGTCGGAACTAAAGAGGAAGGGATGCCACCCACTGGAGAGCATTGGTTAGAGCTCAGGAAGGGAGACTTGAGCCGTGGAGGAGACAGGGTAGAGGGAGACAGTTGTGCACACCATGCACTTGTAGAGACTCAGTCTCGGATCAGCTCTCGACACTGCTAAGTCAAAGCGTGGGAGGACAGCGTGTTGTGATGCTATTGAGGGTGTGTGTGAACACAGTGTTGTCTAGGAGTGCAGCCAGGTCAGATGGCCATAGGAAACCCAGCTGGTCTTTGTCTGTCATCCAGTATTAGAATTCCTGACATGTGGCATGGTCATGTGGATCTGTGACAAGTTCGCAGTTTTTGTCCCAAATCTAAGCAAAATCATATTCTTACAATTTAAGATCAGGATTTGCACCAGGGATAAGTCTTGAGAAAAGAATTTGGGGAGAATTAAACATATGACTTTCTATTATAAAATCATGTAGAAATTAATTTCAAAGCCATGATCAGCTCAGATCCTCTCCTTTTGGTGGTTCTGAGCATATTTCATTTTCTCATTTTTACCCATGCTGCAGTTCCCCACATTTTAACATTGTAAAGTGCACACAGGTAGAAAGTCATGCAGATGAATTATTTTACCTTTGCCTGCACCTACATCAGGTGGAAGAATACCAGCTTAATGAAGGGAAACAGAAACAGGACACTATATAGTTAGATGTAACACATCCAGGAGCATCTACAGCCATATAAAAAGCACTTATTAAAATTCTAAGGCATGCAAGAGGAATGAAGCCTGTTATAAAAGGCACAGGGACAAAATAAATGCATTGCTGTCCCCACACTTACCCAATATCCGATATAAACATTACTTACGGTGCATTATTCTAAGACAGCTTAGGACGTTTGACCCATTTTTAGATATGAAATTTTAATTTCATATGCTATGTGGAAGCTATAGAGGACACCCAACGAGATGATCCAGTCCTTAAGCAACTTCACAGTTTGGAGACATGCAAAACCAGAAAATATTTTATAATACTTAAGTACTTTTAGGATTTATTTTATTTTACATGTGTGAATGTTTTGCCTGCATATGTGTGACCACTTCATGCGTGCCTGGCTCCCAACTCAGGCCAGAAGAGGGCAGCCGAATGGGATTTACTCATGGTTGTGAGCTCTCATGGGAGTGCGGGGAACTGAACCTCTGTAAGACACAAAGTGCTCTGAACCCCTGGGCTACCTCTTTAGCCTCGCTTTATACTATTCTTGATCCTTTTAATTAAGCCAAAACATTATGAATCACTTTTGAAAATATTCGATTTAATGAGAAATTTTTTGCTTTCTCTACAGATGACATACCAGAATCCATTTCTTTGTTAAGCATAAAATAAGTACACTACTTATTTGTCTTACATTTATTGCTAGAAATTTTTAATCAATATGCACATAAGCAAATTATTTCCAGTGAATTAGAAGTAGAACCAAAATTATGTATAAGCATATATGGATGTATAGGTAAAAAAAAGTTACATTGAACTTAGCACTCAAGTGTGATGAATTGTTATTATATTTTTATTTCTTATTCCTGCTTCAATATGTTTAAAAGACGTATTTATTTCCTGTATGTGTGTCTATCTGCATGAGCTTATGTGCACTATCTGCACATAAGCCAGGTACCTGTGGAGGCGAGAAGAGAACATCAGATCTGGAACTGGTGGAACTGGTGTGACAGGCAGTTGTGAGCCGCCATGTGGGAAGTAGGGACTGAACCTGGGTTCTCTGCAAGAGCAGTTAAGTGCTCTTAACCAGTGAGCCATCTCTTCAGCCCCCTGCACCAATATGTTAACATAAATTAAAAGTTTCATACAGGCTTGAAAAGGAAATAACCAAATAGCTGAACCAAATAACTGATTTCCCCCATACACTGGGATGGCAAACTACAATTAAATATGTTATTAGGTAAGATGGAGAGTCCATGGCACACAAAAAAAGAGAAGCAATAAATTCACAATGCTTTTTAATTCCTTGACATTTATAATTATATAGATTTTATACATACCCATCTTACCTTCATCCACAGTCGTTATTGCTTCCTCTGTAATCTGACTGCCTGATCCCACCGATGTTTGTGCATAGAAATAAAACTTGTACCGAGTGCTGAAATTTAAATTTTTTAAAGTCCAGCGTGTCTTGTTGGCAGGAATTTTTAAATCTACCAGGGGGCCAAGTTCATGTGTGCTGTTAACTGCCAATGAAAAGTGACAAGTACATCCCCTATTAGTTTTCCTAGGAATACTACTGTAAGTCATTGTTTCAGAAAAGAAAATACAACATTTCCAGTTGACATGCCTTTTACACTCCTTTTCATGCTTTGGATAACATACTAATAGCTATTTAAAGTGTAAAAATGTAACCTGGAAAATAATAGGAAGAAGTGGAAATTTTTTCCATTGGCTTACAAACTAGGATTATGATACCAGTTTTAATTCTGTCTTTGCTGGTGGACTTCTATCTTTTTAATAATTCCAGATACTTCTCTTGGCATCTTATGGCCAAGGAACTTCCTCTTCATTTTCGGCTGCCAGATAATGTTCTAACCTAATGACGGACCCTCCCTTCAGCCCTACACTTAGCAGTCTGTATTATCCTAATGAGACCTTAAATTCAACAGCATATATGCTACCTTTCTACACAGGTATACTCTGAACCTCTTTCCGGAACAGTACTTGAAGGTCTATACACACTGGGAAAGGAACAACTTGCATTTTACGACAGGCGTGACTTACTTGGCTGGTATTTTAAGGTGTACTCAGTCAGGACGCCATTGGGGTGACTCGGCGGGTCCCATTCCAAAGTGAGAGAGTCCAGGGTGGGATTGACAATTTTCAGAGAGGAGGGAGCACTGGGGACTTTTAATGAGAATGGACAGTCAGCACAATGTTTCACAGGCATTCCAAAGTGAACACCCTTGTCCTATCTACACGTTTGGGTTTTCGGGTTATTGCTGGATCCAGCTGAAAATACTTTGACTCAAATCTGTGTACTTGTGACGTATTTCTTTTCCTCTATCTTTTTTTTTAAAGCCACTTCCATTTAAATTCATTAAAATTATCTTCTTAAAATACATAATGACTGACTTTATAGGGACTCAAATAATCTATTTTAAAGCAGATGGCACTCAACTCCATTTGTAAAAGTGAGCCGGTTGCCAAGGGAGACCATCCATGCAGGCCTTTGAGAAGAAGCAGCTGTGTCCTGGTCCATTAAAAACTATTTCCCCCAACAAACCAGGTGTCTCCACATAGTCCCAGCACCCTGCCTGATGGGCTTTGGGCCTAGGCCAGGTTGCCCAAGTGCTGAGCTGTGCTTATTCCAAGGACTCAGAGCCTCCCAAGACCTGAAGGTAAAAAAAAAAAAAAAAAAAAAAAAAAAAAAAAAAAAAAAAAAAAAAAAAAAAACAAGAGCCCCATATGTCGGCTCACGTCCTACCCCAGCATGGGGAAGGCTCAAGGGCTTCCGGTCTCTTGGGCAGAAGCTGGCAAATTATCAGAGGAAACAGGCCTAGTTCTCTACTCCCATCTTTAAGAGGCTGGGGATGATGTTGCCTTCCTACCATAGTCCCTAGAAACCTTTTAACGACACCACTATCCCTCCTTCACTCTAGCCGGAAACTGGAGAGTCAATTTGGAGTTTTTTCCATCTCCTGGGATGCTAAATCTTGGCAATGCTCTCTTTTCGAAACTATATCCGTTCCCTAATCCTCTCTGCTTCTCCCCTATTCCAGTGCTTTGCCTGGGCCTGCAATCATTCTTGATGGGCTTCTAAGCTTCAGCCTCATTGATTCTTAACCTAAGGAGGTCATAGGTCTCTTCTAGAAAAATATGTTGACATGCTGCTTGGTGTTGTTTCAGGAGGTTGATGGTATTCCTCAAATGTCTCAGAAGACCCTGAAGGGACTACCACAGTCTGTAGGATAAGAGCTTCTGGCTCACAGGTTAGATCCATGGCGTCCGAGATCATGCAAGATGTGGGTCCCCTCCCGTTGCCATATCTCTTTTCTCACCCTGGCAATACATCTTGTATTTGATAGGAGCTATACTTTTTAATACCTTTGTGACTTCAGAAAAAAACATCCTCCCCCCGCCTTCAGTCTTCACTCCCATGTATCTTTTCTATGCCCCCTGTGCCATCCAAAGGACCAGCCTTGGTTCTCACTGATGAGAGGTTATAGGGCAAAGAGCCTTCTGCCTCAGCACCTTGAGTGCCGGGACTGCAGGCACCACCAAGCCTGATGCAAAACTTCTACCCATGTAATTCAGGACAGCTTTATAAGAAATCATGAAAGCGTGTGAGCCAACTCCAACTCGCAAAAATAACTTCCCTTTGGGGAATTGTCTTACATCTTCCTTTCAGCACGGACACTTCCAGAGGGAGCTACCAAAGCTTCGAGAAGTTACAGAATGTGCCTCAGCTCAGAACGCTGATGACTGGAACACATTAACAATGTTTCACACAGCCTAAATGAAGAGGAAACCTAAGGGAAAGAAGGCAGTATATGGGGACAGCACTCGGAATTCTGCAGCTCTGTCTGACCAGCATTGCATGTGGGTGACATTTTGTCATCTTTTTGTGTGTTGTGACTATTTATTACCATGCAGATAGCTATTTTCTCAATGGTGGGCCTTTTGTAGTATAAAACCTTGCACAATATGCTACACGCTCCTTGATCCCAGAGACGCAGCCACTCCTTACCTCCCTCTGGAGTATGGAAGCCTCTGTCGCTGCTAGCTGGGCCCTCCCCTTTCCCGTTGACTACTCGGACGTTGAGAAAATAGTGACTGTACGGTTGCAGCCCTGGCAGCATGCCGTGAGTCTTGCTGCCCTGGAAGGTGAGGATCTTCTTCTCAATGTGGCGTCTGTTTCTTTTGGACGAGCTCTGCACCTTCCAGTAGTAGATCTGAAGTGGCCAGAACCAGCGTCAGGGACTCACAGAAAACCCATATGACACCTCATGTTCACAAAACCGGAGCCCTGGGGCTGGGAAGGCAGCCCAGCAGGTAAAGGTCCCCACCATGTGTAACCTGTCACCTTGAGTTAGATCCCTGGAGCCCACAGAAAGGCAGGAGGACGTAACTAAGGCCAGAGTTGCCCTCTGACCTCCACCTCGCACCGCCGCATGTGCAGTTCCCTCCTCACTCATCCCATGGACTTGTGGGGAGCGCGCATACATGTGTACACACGTGTGCACAGTTTTCTTTTTAAAAAGTTGAACTGCTGCTTTCTCAGAAAAATATCTTGGTTCATTCCACATGAGTACTCATAAAACTGGCAGAGACTGGTTCTTGGACACGAAGGACAGACGCCCACAGATAAAGAGGAGACTTAAGTCCACATGGTGAAGCTGCGCTTTCCCTGGGTAAGTTTTACTGTCCATTGTTGTTACACTCATGTAGAGTTACACACGTTTAGCACAACATTTAATTTAATCCTCACCCTAGTGAGGCTTTTATTATATCTTTTTGTGGTACTGATGAGCTTATGGGTTACTGATGGATTTTTCCAAAGCCATAATAACCCTACACTATAAGTCTTGGGTTAGTCCATTAACCCACACTACCATCTAATTAAGAGTGCTGATAAATTGCAGGCACGGGTTTTGGGGGGATGAATGAAGTGTTGCATAATTTTGGTCGAAAGGCAAGAACTTTTGCATATTATATTTTCTCTAAGGCTTCTTGGAATTTAAAGGCATTTTTCAAGATAAATTATATATGCCAAATCTGCTCATTATTAAGAATAAAAGAATACAGTGCAGTATAAAAAATGTCCTCTAGGGGCCAGTGTCAAATCAAAGTAGTGAAATAGTGTATATCAGGTTCTTTAGATGTATGAAAAAAATCTCTAGGATTAGTCTTTCCGTGTTTTTGAAAACTAAGATAATTAATATTCATAAGGATGATTCAGCTATGGACTACAGTCTTAAAATATAATTTGTCCAATAATATAGCCAGCACTAATAAATTTGTCCTCTGACCTCCTAGAATCAGATCAGAGGTCTGAAGACAGTTTTATTACTACTGTCTATATAATTGTAAAGCTAAGTGCAATTTGCTAATTCCTTAAAAACCATTCTGCCTTATTTTACATTCAGTTGGTAGAACATTCCAGAAACTGTGGGAAAACTGTGAAAGACAGATAAAACATCATTTTCTCACCCTGGATAAATGAGATTTCTAGTCAACTCTAGCTGGGTTCTTTAGGTATGGCTGGAAACAGCGAGCAAAGTCACTGGTAAATTCCCAAGTCATGAACAGAAGAACCACATAATTTCAGCCTAAAGTGATGTTCATGACAAGCAGCTCCCACCATGGCCCTGCTACTGAGTAAAAAACACAGTGTTTCCCTTCACCTACCCGGTAGCCTTGTAAGTGTCCTCGGACACTCTTCAGAGGTACTGGGTCCCAGTGTACCTCTGCCAAGGTACTGTTCACCACATTGACACGCACATTCCCAGGAGCCACCATCGGAACTAGGAACAAGACCAGAGAGGGGGGTGGTGGTGCCTAAAGCTGTTATTTCTTATTTCATGCAAAAATGTCACAATATTCAATAACTCTGGCTTGAAACACACACCACACTACGCTATAGAGGCCCATACTATGGATTGGTGATGGTTAAAAGTAGACATTTTTAAAATTCATTTATCTGACTCCATGAAAGCAACTTATTTTTTTAAATGTTGTGAATGTCTAGTCCCCTCACCCAGAGGTTCTGGGTTTGGAATCCAGAGCCTTCCATACATAAGAAAAGAGCTCTACCATGAAGCCATTCCCCTAGCTCTGAATTGCTATCACAGAGAAGGCTGTACAAAGGCGGAGAAATTAACCAAATGATTGCTACTTCTTTTTCCTTGCTAGGCTAGGGGCCTCTGAAATAACCTCAGTCTGTACCCCAGTAGGCCTGTCCCTCTGGCAAGTGTAGAATGGAAAGGGCGGGAGACACTTACGATCTTCTCCAGAATGGCCCATGACTACAGCTGGCTCTGGCGCAAACCCCACGTCATTCAGGGCTTGAACTTTGATCAGGTATGGGACAAAGGTTGGCGTGCCGGAGACAATGTATTTGGATACGTTGGCTACCACCACAGAGGTCCACTCATCATCACCATCTTTCTGACGCCAGCTCACTTTGTACTGGAGGCCGGGCCCATTCGATTCAAAACCGTTCAAGGGCTATGAAGAAAACGCCAAATAGAATGACTGGACGGCCTTCTACAAGAACAGCAAGCCCAATTCCCAGAGCAAAGAAAACAAACGCTAGTACGTGCAGAGTATTACTCAGCAGTAAAAAACAAGGACTTCTTGAATTTTGCATACAAATGGATGGAAATAGAAAACACTATCCTGAGTGAGGTAAGCCAGACCCAAAAAGAGGAACATGGGATGTACTCACTCATATTTGGTTTCTAGCCATAAATAAAGGACATTGAGCTTATAATTCATGTTCCTAGAGAAGCTAAATAAGAAGGTGAATCCAAAGACAAACACATAGGCATCCTCATGAATATTAACCTTCATCAGGCAATGAAAGGAGACAGAGACAGAGACCCACATGGGAGCACCGGACAGAAATCTCAAGGTCCAAATCAGGAGCAGAAGGAGACGGAGCACGAGCAAGGAACTCAGGACCACGAGGGGTGCACCCACACACTGAGACAATGGGGATGTTCTATTGGGAACTCACCAAGGCCAGCTGGCCTAGGTCTGAAAAAGCATGGGATAAGTCCGGACTAGCTGAACATAGTGGACAATGAGGAATACTGAGAATTCAAGAACAATCGCAGTGGGTTTTTTATCCTACTGGCTTTGTGGGAGCCTATGCAGTTTGGATGCTTACCTTACGAGACCTGGATAGAGGTGGGCAGTCCTTGGGCTTCCCACAGGTCAGGGAACCCTGATTGCTCTTCGAGCAGATGAGGGAGGGGGACTTGATCGGGGGAGGGGGAGGGAAATGGGAAGCGGTTGCGGGGACGAGGCAGAAATCCTTAATAAATAAATAAATTTAAAAAAAAAAGAAAACAAACGCTAAACCACTAGAATGCAAGCTATTAAATGCCCTCATCTTCAGGGACCTCTTCTCTGTGTTCCCTTGTGATGAAATCTAAAGTTTGTTGAGAACCAAGGATGTGAAAGGCAATCCCAAAGTAGTAAATAACACATAAAGCCCCCAAGACTGGTTCCATAGGTATGGGTGAGTCTTACAACATTTTAGTTATCTAGATTTATTTTATATATTCCTGTTTGTGTCATTGCACATCATTGTCCACTTGGAGACGAAAACTTATGAACTGTTTTTCTATTAAAAATTTGGGTCTGTCTATTCTATCATATATGCATATATACATGTACATGCTTAGATCTAAGCTAGGTTTTGATATTATACAAATAGTTTTGTTCTAATTATTGATTTTTCAGATCCAGAGCACATAGATGAGGTAAATAAGAATAATTATAATAATTTGACTTCTGGGAAGAGTTTGATGTGTGTCTTCCAAATGAACTCTGATGATAATAGCTAGCATTTTTGGAGCACACACTTGTGTGAGGCATTTTAATAAGTGCTTCATAAACATCAGTTCCTTCAGTCTTATGTAGCTGTATTAAGTTCTCATCATACAGATGACTGATAATTGACTACAATTACCAAAGCTGGGATGTTCAACTGTCCATCTTCGCTTCAAAGATAGAACTTTTTAATTACTATACAACACAGCCTCCTAAATAAAGATATATGTTTTTCTACACTGGTTGAAAAGGAATACAAATGCAGATATTATTCTAAAACAACTCATTTTGTTCAGTCTCTAAAAGATAGAAGCAAAGCCAGGCAAAGGTGGTGCACGGTTTTAGTCTCAGCACTTGGGAGGCAGATGCAGGCAGATCTTTGTGAGTTCGAGGCCAGTCTGGCCTACAAGAACTAGTTCCAGGACAGCTAGGACTGTTACACATAGAAACCCTATCCTGAAAAACCAAAATAAATAAATAAATAGATATATAGATAAATAAATAAATATATAAATAAATAAATAAAACATTGAGGCAAAGGAAAGGCTTCGTGGCTCACCTTCCATGTAATTACCAAGTTGTCGGGCTCTGTTCCTAGTCCCTCCACAGCTGTGGGATTTTGATCTGGTTCTAAAAATGAAGACATCACACACAAGTAAGCTTTGGCTCTCTGGAAGGAGTAGGAAACCCTTCTGTTTTATGTTAGGTCCCTGGGTTGCAGCCTTACCGGCGGCCTTCGTCAGGTATTGCTCCGATGCCTCGCTGGGCACACTCCTCCCAATGTTGTTCTCCGCCATGACTCGGAAGGAGTAGTTCACATACGGAGACAGCTTTAGCTGTGCTGTGGTCTGTGTTCCAGAAACTTCAGCCTGGTGGTGCCATACCCCTGCTTCATGCATTGCATCTTCATATTCAATGATGAATTCTGGCCATCACAAAACACACACCACAAACCCAAGATGGTGAATTCAGTCAACTTAAAGACAGGTTGCTAGAGATAATTCATGGCAAGCAAGCGTAACCAGACACAGGTGATTTTTTTTTTTCAAAAAAAATCCTGTTAGGATATTGTGAGTTCAATAGATAAGGAGGTGCAATTTTTGGCCTCTCTCACCTATCATGCAGAACTCAGATTAGTTAAAACTGTTTAGACCTGATTCATATATTCTAAAGGGAAATTTAAATATATAAATTACTGTAGAAAGGAGTAACTACAGAAAATACAATTAAGGAGGTGTTCTTCACTAGGAAGACTGACAACAATCAAATGTTTAACATACTTTGTTTTGTGACACACTCTCAGACCTCCTGAGAAGTGTACATTGATACACTTCTATACAGGACGGTTGAGAGTATCTAAACAATTTTAAACATACACACCCTTTGAGGAATTGTACTTCCCGCAACTGATTTTGAACAAACTTAATTATGTGGTGTAAAGACACACGCACAAAAGAATCCACATTGCTGCATTATTTGCAGTGGAAGCAAAAGCAACCTTAATGCTAAAAGCTAAATGCTTTCCAGAGGGATATATGTAGCCAAAAAATGGTCCATACAGTCACTGTGGAAGACTCTGTACCTGTTATAAATGAGGATGTTCTGTATGTGTGTATCTAAGTGTACTATGACACAGGACAGAGCAGGAGAGTGAAGAGCACACATTGAATGCTACACCTGTTTAACAGTATAAAGACCTGCTGGATAAACTGCACTTGGATGGACATGGATTTCATGTTAGAAGGTGCACACTCATTAAGAGTGGTGTGGCCTGAGGAGCTTACAGACATGAGTGGGAAGAAGACACGTTTTAGGGGGTACAGTCTATTCTGCTAGAATGCTGTGGTGTACCATGTTTGTTTGTTTTTTTACCTTTGGGAAAGTAAGGTATTTAGGTATATCACACCCTGCATGAAATTGGCTTGAGGTACTTGACATTTTCTGCATGATGTTGCTATGTCTTATTGTGATAATGACATGCTTCTGCTACGTATTTTTGAATATATCCCAATGCTGTGGTTCCTTCCACACCTCAAAATACAATTGTGAGGCACGCCCTGCCCTGCTAAAATATTAGCCATCCTGGGGCTACAAGAAGTCTTGGGTGGTTGGGAAGACCCTGTCCAGCAAAGCTACTGAAGTGAAGACCAGTGGGACTGAGACATGAGCACTTACCTCCCGAGGTAAGTGCCAGCCTAAGCTGAAGGAACAAGTGAGAGGTGTCCACAAGCTCCTTACCGTCCCCCTGTGGGCTTGAAACTAACCTGTCTGCAGCCACATGGGACCCAGCAGGAAGCTGCTACTGAGCGGCATCCCTCCTAGCTTTCTTTTCCATCCTTTATGCCTCTTCTTTTTCTTTCTGACTATAGTCACTCCACTGTATTAAATTTTATTTAGTCCCTTTGAAATTAGCTAATTTTATTTCAAATGTTCTCTGTACTGGGAATTTTTTTCTTTCTAATCTCTCACTATTTGTTCCCTTTATGGTGTTCCTTTCCATTTCTCCTCTTTTTCCTTTTAACCCAAATTTATTTTTCTCCATTCCATTCTTCCTTCCTTGACTACCCTCATCTGCCACTTCCACTGTGACCCTAAATTACTCTTAACGTCACCGAGCACTGCACATTTCTTTTGCCATGTTTTTCTTTGCCGTGGGTTTTAATCCTTTCAAGTGTATTTCCTGTACGTTTTGATGCTGTTGCTGAAAGTCTGTTTTCTACCCTCTGAGCGGTAGTGGCTGTTCAAACTCAATCCCCCATGTGAAACTGAAAGAGAGACTTTCACTCAAGGGAAGCACCAGTGGAAACAGAGGCTATTGCCACTCTGCTGGAAGGTGCAATAATATCAACACAGCTATGATTTTGGAATGATCTAGAAGAGCAGTTGGTCTTCCTGAAGCCCACACTTGAAGATAACAATGTATTTCAGGGTCATGACTGACTAAGCCTGCTCTCTTGGGTATCTCTTTAGTTTGACAATCAAGCCTTGAAGCCTGTCTTATGTTGATTTAATAAATGTCTTTGTATCTGCAGGCCTTGGTCTCTCACCTGATTTTATTCCCTCTGCCAGTGTCATTGAAGTGAGGCCCTGCATTGTTGAATGTGTCATTTTGTAGCAAAGGGCAATGGGGGAAAATTCACCTGTATTGGAAGTTAAGGACCTATTGTATATGAGCAGTTCTATCACAAACTGTAGGTCTGTAATAGAGCACCAAGATCTGTTTCCCAGTGTTTAGACTGGTCTCTCAACACCTCCCAGAAGCAGAGGACTAAATGAATGACTAACAAGATCCATCTCTCTACTGACTCTGTGCTGGGTAGTTTTATATCAACTTGACACAAGCCAGAGTCATCAGGAAGGAGGGAGCCTCATTGAGAAAATGCCTCTATGACATCAGGCTTTAAGCAGGCCTATAGGGAATTTTCTTAATTAGTGATTGATGGGGCGGGCTCAGCCCATTGTGGATGATGCCATCCTTGGGTTGGTGATTCTGCATTCAATAAGAAAGCAGGATGAGCAAGCCATGAAGGAGCAAGCCAGCAAGCAGCACCCCTCCATGGCCTCTGTGTCAGTTCCTGCCTTCAGGTTCAACGATGAATAGTGATGTGTAAATAGAAGACAAACAAATCATTTTCTCCTAAAGTTGCTTTTGGTCATGGTGTTCCATTGCAGCAGTGGTAATTCTAACTTGGGCAGTGGCAGACACAGAAGCTAATTCTTCACAATCTTAAACACAAATGAGAGTGTGTTTGCTTAACTAATATTTTCAGGAGTTAATTAGTTGTGCCAGAAGCTATAGCCAGGAACAACTCCATTGATGACGAGCATCATACTTTGGTTCTAACAGCAATAATGAAGAGACTGCCAGTAAATGAATGCATTTGGAAGGAATTACAACAGTATATCCTAAACTTGTTCTGGATATGGCTTCAGGAATAGCCATTAGGTTTACCAAGTATAAAGCAAAAACACCACATACTTGTAATGGGGCTATTGTTGTCATCGCCTGGGGTCCACGTCAGCTGAACACTTTTGTCAAGTTGATTGGTCAACTCTAAATCAAAGGGAGGATTCGGTACATCTGTGGAGCAAACACACACAAATGGTTCACTGTCTTCTTCAAAGGAAGTTTCCTTCTTTCTTTGTGATGCTATGCACAGAGGGACACCTTAGAGACACATCACTCTTATTGGTCACTGAGCATGCAATGGAAAGGAAAGAGACACTGCTGAGGTTGCTGAGAACACTGCACACCCAAGCCAACCCATCAGGGAACTCTGTTGGCTTGCTTTTTCAAGAGATACAAAATCATTGTTTGTCAAATCTACTGAGGCAGTGCAAGGGTCCTCAGCATGCTCAGAAGGGAACACAGGCAGAAATGACATCAAAGCTTCATTTCGGATAACACAAGGGAATCAGAACAGTCAAAGATGAGAGACAAATGCAAGCAAGTGGCATGCGCTGTTCAGAGGCTTTTCAGCATCCCGAGGCTAGGTGGGAAATGGATCTGGAGGTAGCTAAGGACTGTTTTTAGGGTAGGGAGCTCTTGGAATGCACAGACACATTGCATGTCTCGACAGCTGTTGGGACAGAGGTCACTGAGAAATACAATGAGCAAAATAGTCTAACCTTACGATACACTGTAAGGTTTTAAGAAATAATTGACTACGGCAAATGAAGCCCATGATAACTGAGAGCCATTTTCCTTTAAAAAATATAATGATGGGACAGAGAAGAGAAAGCGATGTTCACAGATGTGAAATTATTTAACAGAAGACAGAAAAAGAAGACTCATTAGTTTACCGTAAATGGGGGCTGGAGTTGGAGTAGGAGCTAGAAAGGACATTAATATAAAGGATTTTAATCAAAATTAGTGATGGAAACACAGAAGAAGACAAAAGCAACCCAGTATTTTCTTTTAATTAAACTCTCTATTTAGCTTAATGTGAGGTGTGCACTGACAGAAGGACGGCAACAATTTAGGAATAACCTCCCCCGATTCTGTATAAGAGGTTACTTCCTTAATTTTCTTAAAAAATGTCGCTTATATGAACATCCCCCATTTTGTCAGAGAGTATATTTATATGGAGATCGCCTCCTGAATCACCCACCCTTGTATCTCTGAAACAATAGCTAACAAATCTTCGACACCTAGAACTTTCTTCCAATCTTAATACAGATGATCTGGCTGTGTTTGTTCTTGCTCTTACCGACAACCCTGAGCACAGCACTGGCAGAGACCCTGTCCAGCGTCGTGTTGGCTGCGCACGTGTAGGTCCCGCCATCATCGTCACTGACATCAGTTACCACCAGATGATCCTTGTCTACGGAGAACCTGTAAACGGAACACACATACAGCAGTTGGTGTGACACTGGGACACAGCTGACTGATGACAGCCTTCCCAGCAAGCAAGAGTCTCTGAGAACTTGATAAAAGAGAAAGATAAACACTTCCACAATTAGAGTGAACCCCTATATATCACATTAGTAATAAACCTGGAAAACATTTGGGCTAGGATGGATATTAACTCTAACAGGGTTTGTCAGGCTGATGGAGCAGCCCTCTTGGGGTCAGGACAAAAATCATATAGATATGTACAATTGCTGTATGCTTATTAATTTTTTTAATTAATCAAAGTTACTGCTTGCGTCCTGAGGTGTGATGGGTGGCTCCATGTTTTCCCCAACTAGAGTGCTTCAGTCAGGCTTCCGTGGTTATTTCGTTCTTTTCAATTTCCACCAGAGTGCAGAGTTTTTACAAAGTTACTATTTGTGGCAGAAGCGTGATGTTCCTGTTTACCCCACATGTGTAAAGGCCCAGTGCAGTAACTAAGTGAAAAGCATTGGGGTCTTTCTTGTCACGAGATCAGCAATCTTCACTGAGAGATTCTAGAAGTTGCTTGCATCATGCATGCAGCACTAATGTTTGGTTCCAAAGAGGGTGCATAATCTGTCTTCCTAATAATTCTCAGTCAAATCTCAGCTGATCTAACTGATGGTCATTTCTTCACATTCTCTTCTCTTTACCACCTAGATTTCACATAGAAAATTGGCCAGGTGGAAATTTGTACTTTGGGCACATGGAAAGAAAGGCCAGGAAGTTATAGTGGCGTCATTAGCAAGCAATAGGGTACCATTTAGTCACCCCAGGTTTAGGTCAGAGGCAATTAAACCACAGAAACCATCTCCATCAGAACACAGCAAGCCTAGCACTGGGTATCACTTGTGTCCACTCTAATGGCTAAAATCATGAATGCAGATGAATTCCCTAGGTAATCAAACTGAAGGCCTCGGTGGAAAAATGCCATGGTATTCCTTCTATTCCAAGCTACAGAACTGAATGCACCCCATGAAATGGTTTACTTGATTTTGATTTTCTTTTCCTTCTGCAGGTGTTACATTAAAAAAGAAAAAAGTAATTCAATATCCAAATTCAAAACTTATAATCTTTAAAACACTGGCAGAGTCAGGTGCATTCCTGATTCTGGAGCTCGAATATCAGCGTATTTGTGGAGTGTTGAGGAAAACATCTGCTGAGACTTCACCATTCAAATTATGCAACCATGGTTGTTGTCCAAAATCGGGAGGGCGTTTTCCATCCCAATTTCACAGGAGATCAACACACAAAGACCCACATTCTCAGGCTCTTCTTTCAAACGCTCAATGCCCTTTCAGTTCTAAGCATTTACGGTAAGAGGAAAATGCTGATCTCATAATTTTGCAGACAGCCGACTTCAAACACTGAAAGCATGGTGTCAGTAGCCTTTTGACACAAGAGCAGTCTCCAGAGAGAAGGAAGAGGGAAGAGAGCCTCTTGAAATAAATACCTTTCCTCATTGGGCAGCTCTCCATGGTCCTTCAGCCACACGATGGTGGGAATTAAAGTATGGTCGTGTTTCACTTTGCACTCAAAGGACACTTTGCTCCCCCTCTGCACGACTGCATGTTCGGGTTGCTTGATGATTTTGGTTGGATCTAAAATCCAAAGTTTTGGTTATCAATTTTGGCAAAGAGAAATGGAGAATTTGCTGTGTCATATAACACTTGAAAATGCTCATTAACTCTGTCTTACCTTTGATTTCCAAGTGAACTTCGTTCTTTGCCATCCCTAATTTGTTTCTTGCAACGCATGTATACGTCCCTGTACTATCCTTTTGGGCCACAGGAATTTCTAATGTTCCATTATCATGTAAAACATAAATGTCCTCATGAAGAGCGCTTCCTTTGGTTCCTTTAAACCTTCATTACAAAAGTTACAAGCGTGAGAATAAAACACAACAGAATGTGGTCTGCAGCAAGTGTCAAGGCCAGCGACATTTGGAAAGACTACAGGGATTAGATTCCGCTTATTTGTAAAGTGGGGATGAAAACACCTATCGAGGTTTCACTTTTCAAGTTATAAAATCAAAAACATTGTCCAAAACCTGAAGGGTTTTCCGTAAGCACACTTCTGACATGTCAGAAGAAAGGAAAGAAAAGCACAGAAAACAGGAGAATACAATAATAAGCAGAGTCTGCAGAATTAGAACATCAAAATATAACGAGATGCAACTTTTATGCGATACCTAACTTAATAAAGACTTTACCTTTTTTACTCTTAAAGAGATGATAAAATAGGCAAAAGTAATATTATCTTGTTATTATATTTTTCTCCCATTTATAAGACCAAATTTGAAAGACATTTTGATTTCAAGGCTCAGGATTATACTCTGAAAGTTTGAATAGCAAGTATTCAGACAATGGAAAGAAAACGTGTGTGTGATGTGGGAGTAGACACAGATGAAAAGGACCAGAGTAAGTCAGTCTGAGTTGTCCCTCTCAGCACCCTCACTACAAGTCTATTTGTCCATGGTACTCTTCTCTGGAGTTAAGGTTAGACCTGGAGTGACTTCTCTTTAATCCTTCACCCGCTGACAATCTCATCCCAGTAGCGGATGATCGATACGTACCGGCTCTATTTGTTATCCACACATTCTCAGCAGCTGCCCATCCTCCTCCTGTCCTGTCCAGCTCTTCTAAAGTAAGCAGCTGAAGGACCAGGACTGGTATGTGAACGTGGATGGACAGAGAGGAGGGAGGAGGACACAGGAGCTCTGCGGAGCTAATGAAGCACCGAGCTGCAAGTCGTCTCTCAGTCCCTGCCACCTCTCTTCCAGCTCCCTGCCACTTTCAGACTTATTTTCTTATTTTATGTAAATGAGCATTTTGCTCAGCTATATAAATTTGTAACACATGCATGCCTGGTGCCCCGGGAGGTCAGAAATGGGTATAGAATCCCCAGGCACTGGAGTTACAGAGAGTTGAGAGCCACACAGTTGGTGTTGGGAACCAAACCTAGTTCCTTTACAAGAGCAACAAGTATTCCTAACCACTGAGCCAACTCTCCATCCCCAATCCCATGCTACTTTATTATCAAGAGCATGCTTCCAATCCAGTCCTTCAGCCACTATTCACGAAGTTCCAGGTAATGTCCATGGCATTGTGAAATATGGCAGCCTTAAATATTAAAAATCATTTCCATACAGTTTTGTAGTTCATAGAGCATTCTGGTAGTATATTTGTTACATATGTGCAAGTATTTATTATATCCACTGAGTGGATAGTTAATAAATATTTGAGAAAGAGTAAATAAATTTAATAACTAGCAATGTGATGGATTATGTGTTGCATTTTTACTGTTTGTTTTTACTAAAACCAGACATAGTTAGAATTATGAATCAAAAAAAAAATAGAACTACTACTTACCACTCAATGGTAGGCAGAGGAGACCCAAAGAAGGCGCAGTCTAAGAAAGCAGGTCTGTTTGCGATGACCTGGTACAGTATGTTTGCAGATGTGAGAATTCGAGGTGGTTCAGCTAGAACATTTCAGAAAGAGAGAGTAAACACTAGACACATCTTAAGTTTGCAGTGTCCTTATCCATTTTGTTTTAAGATCATGAAAGTCTGTGATAAACTACAACCCGCATGCCTTTTCCCATATGTTCTGTATCTGTGGCATCCAGTAGTCACTCAAGACAGAAGAAACACCCCTGCGTCATGTTCAACATGCTATCTAGGTGTTGCTCAATTACTGATTTGCTTATTTGTGTTTCTTATGCTGGTTAATGAAGGATTCATTTAAATGTATCTTATGACACTGGTGAAAGAATGCATTTATTTAATCATTTTATCCACAGCAGTCTCTGCCAGGAAATTATGCCATGGCTGAATGAATCATCAGTCTAGTGGGTGGGGATGTTGAGGATACACAAAGAGGGCAGGGAAGAGCAGAGTGGAAAGTGTGGTTTCTGGAAAAGAGAGGGGACTAACACCAAGGAAGCAACAGAATGAAGAGAAAAAACATAGACCGGGAGAAGATAGCTGCTCACACATGCCCGATGTAAGACTAAGACACAAAATATATAAGAAACTCAAAGAGCTCAATAGTCCCAGAAACCAAACTAGTTTTTAAAATGAACAAAGATCCAAATACACATTTTTCAAAAGAGGACACACAAACAGAAATGTGAAAAAAATGGCACCTATACTAATTGACAAGAGAAACACAAACTGATACTTGCTAGGATGCCTGCTTTCAAGGAGACATATAAATGTCCTCTTTCAGCCTTATAAAGAAGGGCAGCTGAGGCTGGAGAGATGACTCAGCAGTTAAGAGCGCTTGCTGTTCTTTCAGAGGACACAAGTTCAGTTCCTAGAACCCGTGGCAAGAGGCTCACACCTGCTGCCCCTTTCTGGCATCTTCAGACTGCCACACAGATGTAGCAGGCACCCACATAGATTCACAGACATAAATATAAATAAAAATTCCTTTAAATATCTTATATTTGTGATACTGATGAATCTGAAAGACTCTGTGTGAAATGAAACAAGCCAGACTCAAAGTAACACATACTTGTATTGATCTTACTGAAATATGAAACCTGAAGATGTTGAATTCATAGAAAGAAAGCATGAGAAGAAACTCAGATGTCAAAGCTGCTTCCTCAGCATCCACCAATACCTCAACTGCTGAGCTTCTGGGAGACTAATGGCCCTTGCTTTATATATGAAAAAAATGCCAAATATTGGCAGGCTTTCTTATGTTAGCTTTGTTTGGAAAGGAACACAGTATCTGAAAAAATTCAAGTATAGTTTCTACTACCACAAGAATAATTCATCCATAAAATTTAAAAATGTAGCTTTTGGTAATTTTACTCAATATGAGAGATGTAGTGTTCACATAAGCCAACCATTCTGGAATATGCCTGAGTACATCATAGTTCCTTACAGCTCTTTGAGCATGTTTTTACACATGAAACAATGAATATTTGTGACTTGGATAAGCACTATAATTAACCATTTAGTTTTTCATGGAGGAATTGTGGCATTTTTGACCTCGTCCATTTCTGTGGTGCTAAATGAGAATGGCTCCATAGACTCGTATGTTTGAATGCTTGGTTTGCAGTTGGTGGAACTGTTTGGGAAGGATTAGAAGGTGTGGTCTTGTTCAAGTAGGTGCTCACTGGGGGTAGTCTTTGAGGTTTCAAAAGCCCACACCATTCCAGTTAACTCTCTCTCTTGTAGTTGTTATCTCAAAATGTAAGCTCTCAGTTACCATCCCTATGTGCCTGCTGCCATGATCCCCACCATGAGGACCATGGAGTTTACTATCCTCTGGAACTATGAACCTTAAATAAATGCTATCCTTTATAAGTTGCCTTAGTCAAGGTGCTTTGTCACAGCAATATAAGAGTAACTAAAAAGTGTGTAAGGATGGAAGAGTGGGCATGCTCATGCAAACCAGTGAACAGCGTATTCCTGCAGCAAAGAATCTGCCATATAAAACCTGTATGAAGGAACTGCAATATCAGACCAAAATGACCCTTGAGGCAAGATTTGTATCTCATCTACCCTTGTATATTCTTTGTAGCTTGAAACACTATGCACTGCAGGTAGCAAAGGCATAATGCATTTTCTGTGAACAAGTAGAAAAGAACAGCAGTCATTAACTTAACTTTCCATGTCTTTAATATAAGGAGAACTTACCAAGCACATTTACGAATGCATTCGCTAGTAAGTATCCGTATTCATTAGAGGCATTGCACTGATAAACCGCACTCAATCTTTCTTGAACATTTGAAAAAATAATGGTATCACCATCTATTTTTCTGCTGGGATCTTCAGGCGCAACTGTTTGGATGTAAAAAAGAAAATATATGTTTCTTGCTACTTAAAAGATATATATCAAATTTATAAATTTTGAGATCTATGTTTTGTAAAGAGAAAATACATGCTGGTCTACATAAGTACAAAGGATCCAAGTAGAGTTTAGTTAACACACACATGCAGGCAAATATGCACAATGTCCATTTAGCCTTGAGTGGATGGATTGATCTTCAACAGTGAAGACTGCTTTGAGAGATGCAGAAAAGCAAGCCCAAGTTGGGCAAGGTGAGCAAATTCTGGGGGGAAAAAATGCTATCATGTTTATTTAAAAAAAAAGCCAGCTATTTAAAAGGATGGAAGTTAATTATCAACAAATGGAGAAATGGGCTGGCTTGTTCAAACCTGCCACCTTTGAGGACCTATTATGGAAGCCAATAGATGAATAAACAGAGGCATGCCTAGAGAACACGCTCGTCATGAACATGAGGATATCCACTTTCCTGTTGTGCCCACATCTGGGGCTGAAGGAGAAATCAGTTGTATAAAATTTCTCCTAAAGACCTTTTTCAGCTAAATCCCTCAAGTACTTAAAACGTGTTAAGACGGGAATTGTTCGATGCTGAAGCTGAATGAAACTGCCTGGGTAAGGCAGGATGTGAGAATTCAGTCCAAAGCAAGGCAAACCATGGACAAGTGCTGTGCTGTGATACAGGAATTTCCTTTCTAAATGCTAACCCCTAGACCATGTGCCCACATTGTTTTAAGAGAACATTGTTTAAGCATGCTGACCAAAATCAAAGTAAATAACAGTACCCCTCTCTCTGAAACTGCACATGGCAACCATAAGAGGACTTTGCTTTCACTCAAAACACATTTCTTTTTCTATGGTGGCCAGAAACGGTTGTGTATCACTATTATGAGACTCAATTATCACTTGGAAATAAAAGTATCTGGCACACCTGTGGCTTATTAACTCACTTTAATGAAAATAAATCCAGCTATAGCTACTCCCCTTCATTTTATGTGCCCAAGCATTGTGCTCATTCATTCTGTAATAGTTTTTTACTTATACAATTTACAGCAAATCTACGCTATTGGAACAACACAAAATTCTCAGCCCTTTGCTTCCCCAGATTGGAAGCCTGTGAGGATCCCACTGAAGTAAAGTCACAGTCCCAGGAAAGCCTTGCTTCTTCTTTGAGTTGCAGAGGAATACACTTCTTTGTTCCTTTTTTTTTCTGGGGGATTCCTAATTTATTAGTCCATATTTTCCCCTTTTTCCTGGCACAACCATCAGTGTAATTTTTTTTTCTGCTTATTCTTCCATAATCAGGTTTTCCCTGAACAAAGCCCAGAGAGGCATAGTACCTTTGCGGGTTCATGTGATGAAACTGGGAACCAAGCAGATTCATCAGGATCTCCAAATTAGAAAGCTCCTAACCACATGTACAAAGTCCCCCTTTGCTCTGTAAGGTGACATGTTCACCGTTTCCAAGGATTGGGATGCAGACATCTTTGTGAGATCTTATTGTAACTACTGCACATTCTGACTATTATCCCTACAGACTAACAGTTTAGTTGTTCCGGATGAGAATTATCTAACAATGAATCATAAGTTGAACTAGAAGACAAGTTCTTGCCGTCCAAGGATTTTTAAAACTTCAACTAGCTCCCAGGGAGTAACTAATACCCTTATTCCTGAAGAAGTATGATAGGTAGTTTAAAAATAGTTTCTAAACATTAATGTTACAAAATTAGTGTCCAAAAGTCTAGCAACAATCAATGGCTGAAGTGTAGAATCATCTTAGACACATTTTTGTTCTACTAGTAATAGGGTATGTCAAGATTCTTTGAATCGACTCCTTAACTAACACCTGTAATTTCTGATTGAAATTTCTTTAAGAAAAGTATTCTTACCAACAGAATACAAATGGGAGCCATAATTCCTTCAACAGGGTATAGACTGTATCAATAAATAACGGCAGAGGACATATCTTACATTATCCCAGGAAGTGACATACAAGTATAGCTGACAGTCATAGATCTGTACACATCAGCGAAGCCCTTGTTTCTTATCCTGGATCCCACACCTTGTATCATTGGGTCTTTCGGATCGGCACATTGAAGAAATGTCCATCTACTGCTTTAACCAGGCAGGGTGGAACCCAGAGCAGCACCCTGGCTACTCTTGCTCTGTGGATTATTCTAAGCAGATGGACCTAGTACTTGGACAGTGACAGGGCTGCCTAGGGGGTATTTAGTACCCACTCTGATTGCACCTCTGAAGGTGTGCCACACAATGAAGAACAGTAATGAGGATGACACACTGGCAGAGCACAGTGCCCAAACTCTTAGCACGGGAAACAGACCATAGGATGAGACCACCTCGCATCCCTGAGCATCTGAAATCTTAAAATCACACCACCATGTTCTGGTTAATGGTATAGAGTCCAATTTTTATGAGATGAAAATCAACTGGAAGATTGTAGTGCAAGAATGTATTCCGTAAGATTCAATCGTGCATTCATGGGTTAAGTTAGCAATAGTGAGCCCAGGGCCTTTAACATACTAGGCAAGTGCTCAACACTGAGCTGTATTCTTGACCCTAAGGTACTAAATTTTATGCTGTTTGTGAATTGCACCACAATAATAACGATACAACAAATACGACCAAGAATACTGAACTCAATTGAAAAAGCTAGAAGGACAATTTCCCCAAGTAGAGATGCATCAACCACAAGCAAAACACCCTGTAGCCCCAGGTTTCACTTGTCTTCAGGACCAAAGGCATTTGACTATAGCCACCTCATTTGTGCTCAGTGGAACAGTTTTCAGATACTTATTTCTGGCATAATATTTGGGACGGAAACAAACTTGGACCTGAGGTATAGGCGATGAGTAGGCAGCTCTCTTTTTGAAGATCTGCATTATGTTTTCCTTCTGCAGTTATTCAAGAGAAGCAAGAGAGCCTAGAAACAGCAGCGACAGATGGTAGCTCAGTTGGTAGCTGGGCACGAAATAGAGTCATTGCTGCAGAGCCATTGGCAACCTTTGGATGTTGTGTGCTGGCTCCTGGATGGGAAGAACTCGCCAACTTGCAAACTCAAATTGTCTAAAGGAATAGTAATTAATTTCTAGAAACGACCAACATCATTTGCCATAAATAAGCACCAAGGAAAGAAATGTAAGCGTATACATCCACATCTATAACTTTAAGCCCCAAGGGTGAGTTCTAAAAGTGGTGTGACAGCCTTCAGAAAACATAAAAAAAAATATATAACTCTCTTGGAAGAAATGGCAAAGACTGTAAATATTTCCAATTTTGGAATATGAAAATAAAAAAATGATGTCTTAAAAGTACTGAGTACTTTCAATCTCTAAAATGTTTTTATAACAATTGCATAATTTTACATTTAGAATAATTACGTTTAGAATAAATTTCTTTAAGAACTTCATGAAATAGGTCAACCAGATTACATTAAATATATTTTAGATATGAAAATTATAGACAGAAGCACTTAATATTTTGTTTAATTATAATAAAATTGGACTAATTTAATAGTTTGAAATTAAAGTTCTAGATTTCTGGTTTTAGTCGATTTTACAAATATTTCCTGGAGTATGAACAATTGGACATGAAGCAAAGCCAAGCTTTGGCGAAGAGCTGAATCTCCTTTCTCCTGGCTATTTTATCCTAACAGGTCCTGCCAACAGAGAAGGGGGAAGGGGGCAGCTCTGATGGGATCTCGAGAATATTCTGGGTTAAGCCTCCATTCCCCTAGCTGAACTCATGTGTTACTTGAGCACAACTTGTAATTGTACTAGGAGGAGATCTACTCTTTCTTACCAAGTTGGTTCTTTTCTCTCCTCAGATCTGAGGAGCTTTTTAACAAAGGGTGAGATTTTTATGTGTTCCAGGACCAAAGCAAGTAATAGACTCTCTCACTGCCTCCTGGGACAGAAACAGGGATTGTGGATGTTCAGAATCTTGGCCTTGGGGACCACTAACAGGGATGTCACGGGCTCTGGTGAGGAAAGTAAAGGGGAGGAAGAGGAATGGAGGGACACTTGCTTTCTAGGAGAGCCAGGAAATGCTCTTGTCGCCGGTAATAAGAGAAGACGTTTCTCTTTCTGGTTCCAAGTTCAACTTCACACTCTCTCAAGCACTCCAGGTCATATCTGAGGTTTCCTGCGGGTCTCTTGTAACTACATAATTTCTGACCACTATAGACTGTTAAAAAATATTTTGGGTGTTTCAGAGGTGAATTCTGTATTTAACACACTTGTTTGTGTCAAGGAAGTTTTAAGTACCCAGCTGACCTAAATGAGACGGAGTTTCAGAAGTCAGTGAGAGATGCATCCAGGTGCTTTGGAGTTAATTCTATCAGTTTGATAAAGCTGTAGGTTCCAGGTCTGAAGGCAAGCTCAAAATCAACACCACAATTTGCCAACAGAACCCAGTCTAACCTCCACCTCACCCTGATATTCCTAAGTTTGTAGTTTGGAGCTTTTGGGGCTGTCAGAGTCCTTGGATGATTACCAACAAGTTAGGAGAAGCAGGCTGTGTGTCTGATCATGTGGTCCCTGACTGCGTCTCTGTTGGTTGGCATAGGTTGACAGACCTGAGGCTCCTGACAGGGCTGCTGCTGATGCCCTGAACAGTGCTACCACAGAAGCACAGCTGTTCCTCGACCAGCAGCTGCTGGTCCATCTAAGGTTTTGGCATTCTCTTGTGTGGAAGGTGCTACCAACTAGGCAGCTTGGGCCTCAGGCCAACTTCTGGAGCCCATGCTGGACTCCCTGTGCTGGGCTCTGTTGAAGGCTAGTGATCCTCTGGGTTCATTTGGTGCCACTATGCTATGAGGTTTTCTCTTTTTCTGCCTCGGCATCTCTCTGTTATCTTCCATGGCCTCGTACTACTAAATGCGCTACTCAACAAACTACAAATGAGGGGCAAGCACCAGGCCTGATTCCAGAACTGTCCACAAGCCTCAAACGCAGATTTGTTTAAGTTCATGGTCAACCGGTAAGTGTAAAGAAGAGTGGCATCTACCTCTTCAAGCCTCTACTGATTTTTTTGCTTGGCTTCGGGGCTTTATTCCCTTACCGACCTCTTCAATGTGGATTAGAGGACCTCAGTATGCATCAGGACACATCTCTTTGCACTTAGCTGTCTATGATTTATTTTCCATTCAACGGCGACACTCAACAGAGGCTGTCCAGAGACTAGCTGCTGAGGGCTCGGTGAAAGAAACATGCAGGGTCCCCACCTGCTCATCACCATCAGTTATGAAGATGTCCATAGACCATACCCAGCCCTTCCGGCCTGGCCACTCTCAAAGAAGCATCACATCACGTCTCTCTGACAGAGACAAGAGCTGCTTGTAGCTCCCCAGAGCAGCAGCCCTTCCTAGAGCAGCTGGGTGGGCACGGCCCCGTGCTGGGCCACCCGGCAGTACATAGTTTCCCTCCCTGAATGCCCACCAGAGAAGCTTCTCTGAGCTGCACACATCTGAGTTGGGGCACCCTGGATCTGAAAGAGTTGTGCAATTTCTACCATATCTGTGTGGCATCCTTGCTTCTTTTTCAAGGAAACATACTTTGGGGATGAAAAAAAAGGAACTTACTTAGACTCTGATTTGACAGATTTTATTCTTGCTCTTTCTGTTTGGGACCTAATTGGATGATTTGGGGTTAAAGTGGAAGAGCCTAACTTGTCTCCCTGAGATAACTGCCCTCTCCAAACACCCCTCTTCTAGTTTTAACCACGAAGAGGCATGCATGTGGAGGCATGCTCAAAGCTCATAATGCAACTATTAATAGGGTTCAAGGACCCCCAGGTGCTGCTATGCTGGTGCTGCCCTGCAAAGGTTGGTTGTCCTGCAAAGGTTGGTTGTCCTGCAAAGGTTGGTTGTCCTGCAAAGGTTGGTTGTCCTGCAAAGGTTGGTTGCCTCCGCAAGTTCATATTCTGAAGCCCAAGCCCCAAGGTGGGTCCTATGACTAGGTCATAAGGGCTCTTATCTCACAAATGTGGTCAGTGCCCCTTGACAAAAGACTTGAGGGAGCCTGTCCCCACTGTCACTGCACATTGAGAAAGGAAGAGGCAGCACTAGAAGTCACCAGGTGCATTCAACTTGGATTTTCTAGTCTCCAGCACAGGTAGCAATAATTTTCTGTTTATAAATTATCTAGCCGAAGGTACTTTGTTATGGCTGAAAAACAGAGTGAGACAGCCAAATTGGAAGGATGATAAACCGATCAGGAGGAAAGCTCAGCCTCATTACTTAATTTCTCAATTTCCCCTGCTTAGGACTGTATCCTTGCTGCCAAGCCCTGGAGTTTCTCTCTTCAACAGTCCCTGGCTCTCACAGTTTTCCTGCTGAGTGGCTAGATGGATGTTCCCTCCCACTTGTCTGTTCTTGCTGAGTCTAAATCTCAGGAGCACATTTAATCTTCTGTAAATCACAAAGAACCTCTGAGCTGGGAGAAAGCAAACCTTTGGATGCAGAAATGCTGAGTATTCAATATGGCTATTACTGTTCTATATGCATTTCTAAGAAAACCATAATTGTGCTGTAAAACATCTTTTAGTTCTGGGCTTTCTTCCCCTCTCTCAGTTGTCACCATAATCCCCTGGGAGTGACAGTGGCTCCTTGATATATAAACATGAGGTAAGATTCGTGGAGTTTCCTGCTCTGATCATGATTAAAATTGGAGCATAAATATCAGTACCGATTACTGGCCTCATTAGCCTTGTTTTTTTCCCCCCCCCCCAAGAACATATTTCCTTTTGCAGTAAACACAAGCTGTTTCTGTCCAAGTATCTGATAACTACTGTGCTCGTGACACAAGCAAACTCCCAATAAATACTCCAGCAAACACTCGTGGCACAGGGTGCGATTACTCAGACCATGGCTGCCAGGCCTGGGATGAAGAGCAAGCTGTCGTTCCTAGTGATAGCAAATCGACTAGCCATCCATCACACAGGGGGACTCAATTTTAGGAAAGTCAGTTCAAAGGACCTTTTGGTTATGTGGAAGTAGACGTGATATTTGATTTTCAGTTGGAGATGATCAGGAGCAGTATGAAAGTATCTTTATTAAGTAAAGAGAATCTTTGAATCTGGCCTTGATAATGACTGGGAGGTGAGCCTGAGGCTGAGATTGGGTTTGATATCTCTCTCTCTCTCTCTCTCTCTCTAAAGGGAAGTCGAAATTTCTTTTTTTTATAAATATTTATTTATTATATATACAATATTCTGTCTCTGTGTGTGTGTGTATGCCTGCAGGCCAGAAGAGGGCACCAGACCTCATTACAGATGGTTGTGAGCCACCATGTGATTGCTGGGAATTGAACTCGGGACCTTTGGAAGAGCAGGCAATGCTCTTAACCGCTGAGCCATCTCTCCAGCCCAAGAAGTCAGAATTCCAAGACATGTAAAATAAGTGTTCTAAGGCCTTCCACTGGGGAGGCCAAAAGACAAAGGTAGCTGGCTGCTCTCTGTATGACCACGGCTTAGGAAGGAGTTCAGAAGCAATGAGACAAGATTCCAATTCTTATTTTTTTTCTTTGCCATAATTCCCTTCTCATATCCCCAATCTTCTAATCAAGTTTTACCAAATGAGCCTTTACCATGACTTGGAGGATTCAGGCAAAGCCCCTGGCTACACTTTAATGGTCACTGTGGGCAGCACTGTGGTAGCTTGGAAAGACGGCTAATGAAAATGGGCTAGAAGGGAACCTGCAGAAAGCAGGCTGAAGATAACAAACACAGCCACAGTCCTAATGTCTTCCTCAGGGATCTCTGGAGCAGACCTCACAGTACTCAAGGAGGGCAAAGTGGGAGAAGGTTGAGCGTCATGCAAAAGCTCAGGACCCTGTCCTTCGGGTAGCCAGTGAGACATGACCCCTGAAGACTAGAAAACTTGGATGGAGGACAGCTGGGTTTTCCCCAAGACTAAAAACTAAGGCCAGATCAGTGTTTCTTACTTCTGTCATCTACTGACTTAGTCACAGTATCCCTGTCAGCCGAGAGTGACTCTGTGAGTCTCCAAAAGCTAAACTGAGCTGTTGGTGGTGTTTACTTCTCACCCTGCCATTCTCCCCAGGATCTGAGTTAAAAAATGAGAAATATTATTAACTTCCCATTAATACACATGAAATTATTACCATAAGTTCTTTTTAAAATTTATTTCAGTCAACTCTTTAAAGTCTAAATAACTATCCAAAGGCAATAAAAAGCTTTGACGGTGACTTGGTGCCCCTGTTAACTTCATATTCAGCTTTTCATCCTAAACACGAATTATTTCAACGCTGTGCATTTATTGATGAGATACAGCATACCTTGAAAATAACCTTCCATTAAAGACAATGAAGAACACTTACTTTCTATTGGGACTCCATTTGTTAACCAGGCAATTCTGGGCTTGGGGTTGCCATTAGCTCTGCAGATGAGGGTGCCATTCTCTCCTGGGGATAGGACGAGGTTTTGAGGCGCTGCAATCCAGTATGGGGCCGCTTATGGAGAGAAGAAGAGACGAGGAAAGCTGACTCAAGAATACATGGGCGGTTGCAGTAGATTATAAGGGTTTTGTAAAAGACTCATTAGTCTCACTTTTAAGAATGAAAAAAAAAGTGAGTTGCCTCAAATAATTCTTTAAACTTTATAAAGAGTATAGAAGATCACATGACTTTGAACTCTGAACTTTCTAATTATAAAATGGAGAAACAACTTTAAAACTCTTCATTTTTGAAAAGTTGCAAAGATAGAATACAGTGTCCTGTACCTCTTTGCTCATGTTCCTCTAATATCTATGTTTCATGCAGCTGGATTGTGACTGTATATGAGACAGGAAGTGACCATTGTCCTGACCTGGATACCACACCATCTCCACTGGTTGAGTCTCTAGCTAGGGAGATCCTTCAGTCTCTTCTTTCATGATCTGACACCTTTAAGGAGTGTTAGTTGGCTTTGATAAAATGCCCATCAGTGTGTCTGCCTGATGTTTGCTCAGGATTAACTCCTGGCTTGGGGCTGTAAGAATATCACAGTGGTGATGGGTCCTTCCTGATCACCCTACTCTAAGACCACAGTGACTTATTAGTGATGCTCGGCTTCATCCCTGGGTTAAGGCCCTGTCTGCCAGGTACTCCCACTGCAAAATGACTGCTCTCCGGTGTTCTCTGCTCTTTGTTCATTGGCAGCTGGTCACTATATAACCCACTCTCAAGTCCAGACATAGCTTCCACTCCTCCAGAAAAAAATGTTAAATAGTGGACATACATTAAAACTGTCCTAGCCACTAGGCATTTTTTGTTTGTTTGTTGTTTGGATAGAGGAACACTTTGAAGCTATGCAAATATCTTGCTTCTCCTTAAAGTTGTTTTCAGCCACCAATCTTAGAATTCCTCCCTGAATCTTGCCTGAAGCAGTTACCACTGTGGGCCTATCATTGTGATTTTCTATTTTTACCATTCCTTCTGCATTTACTAATTGCAGTTCTGTGAGGAAGACTTGAAGGAGTGGTTTTTGTAATCTAGCCTGGATGTGATTACAATAGAAACGAGAAAAGCTTCATGACACCATGAAAGTGAACATAAATTTAAACTCCTCATTACTGAAGAACGTGATCCAAGGCACAGTCAATGGGTGCTTCGGCGCCTCTCCAGCAGCAAGGGGAATGCATCTGAAATGCCGAAATACCTTTAACTGTGACCGCGATGGTGTGATGAACGGCTCCTAATGGGTTTTTCGCTATGCACTGGTAATTTCCAGAATCTGCTTCTGTAACCTGAGTGATCTGCAAGGTTTTCTTAAAGTTCCGATAGAACGTCCGGTTGACAGGAAGGGTTCCATCTTCTTTGATCCAGTAAATGATTGGCGTAGGCCTGAGAGGATAAATAAGTAATGACGTTACAAAGGATGAATTTGCCTGTGACTGTGTTGGAGAGTGAATTCTCGTGCACGTTTGTAATCAATTCTTTGTGCAAAGATAATGACAAACATAGACCCATAAATTAACACCACGTTTTTATATATAATAATACTCAAATCCTATACTTGGAACAATTTTAATTTTCAAATAACTAGGACTATACTAATTTTTGGCATACCGTAAGTTTGCCATCAGGGACACTGCAAGCATTGATCACCTTACTAAAGGGACCTACCTAATCTTTTCTTTCAAGTTCTGGTCAGTAAGATGCTCTAGAGACTTTTACTATGTCAATCAAGAGAATTATTATTAAATTAATCATATTGTAATATAATCCCACATCAGCTAGAGTCAAAAATATATAATGAATGAACTCATCCACACACCAGTGTCTCTGATCTCATGTATATGTTTTCCCCATTAAATTGATGAAACTTTCTGTTTTATGAGACACTCATGATGGGAACTAAATGATTAATGAATTAAAATCCTTTTCTTCATTTCATTATTAGTGAAAATTTAAAATACCATTATACTAATTGATAATAATAGGCCCGATGAATGTTACACTTCTTCTTACTCAATTTTATCCTTTTAAGTCAGAAAAATCCAAACAAATGGTTCACTGATGAAAAGTCAGAATACCGCATGGAGTTAGGTCTTTCTCAACATCTCAGAGCTTCTCTTAAATTCTTCTCTGACCTTGCTTACCTGACTTCCTTGGGCCTTAGCATCTCCAGTTGTCTTAATGAGAAGAACGTTCAACTCACATAATGCCTTTAAAAATATTTCATGAGGCCGGGCGTGGTGGTGAACGCCTTTAATCCCAGCACTCAGGAGGCAGAGGCAGGTGGATCTCTGTGAGTTCGAGGCCAGCCTGGTCTACAAAGGGAGTTCCAGGACAGACTCCAAAGGTACAGAGAAACCCTGTCTCGAAAAACCAAAAAAAAAAAAATTTCATGAGTTAAAATTTAAAAGATTGTTTAACACAAACATGTGTGTGTGCATGCGCGTGTGTGTATACACTAAGCCATGTGTATAAGAAATAGTACAAAAGGAAGGCTGATCTGGAACTTTAAGACATCTCTATATTTGTCATCAGAGATGCAAGGGATATGTTTGTAACCATGGCTTTGGTGTGTTTGGGTGAACATAATGACAGCATATAAACTTGATGAAGCAGTTTCTGAAGTTAAAATTAAAGCATGCTGTGAACATGTAAAGCTGTGAGATCACTCAAGTGTGAAACCTACAACACATGTTTTCTTATAGTTAGAATGACTGTTTGAGATAAGGCAAGAGAGGGATGGGGCTCGACGCTGCTGTTACAGGTGACATCGAGAAAAGCTATCAGTTGTTAGGGAAGACTCCTACTCTACCGAACAGTCCTTAAGACTTGTGCGTGTTCTAATGCCAAGCCTAACAGTCCCTGGATTGCAAGCAGTATAGTTCCTACCAGGTTTCACCAAATTTCAAAGTTTCAAAAGATATATATATATGGATCTCAGAAGCATGCTGCCTTATTTTATAATTTGTGTTGTCATTGACCTGGCAATCCAGTTATCCAAATCCATATATATATATATATATATATATATATATATATATTTACAATATATATAATATTATTATTATATATTTCCAAATTACAACACCATACTTTACAGGGAAAAAATAGTCAACGTTTCTAATCTGAAAACGTTAAATGTGCTAAGATAGAAAACTAGTTAAATGTCATGTTGGTGCTTGACGAAAAACAAAATGGAAGTTGGAAAAATTCTGTTAGGAAAGACTGATTTTTTTAATTAAATTGACATCCCAGCTGCAGTTTCCTCTTCCTTCTCTCCTCCTATTCCCTCCTGCCATGCCCCCACACCCCCAGTCCATTTCTCCTCTGTTTCTGTTCAGAAAGGGACAGGCCTCCTACGGGTACCAACAAATCATGGGAAAAGGGACGGATTTTTTTGAACATATCTTTAAGATTGTTGTGAGTTTTTAAACTGAAGATCTGTCACATTGGGTGTGATATCCTAATTTGGCCAGCAGAGGCCCCCATGCGCATCCTAAAACAATCATTCCTGGATTAAGGAAAGTTTATGTGATCTCTGGATTGCCAGGTCAGAGACAACACAATCATAAAACCTGAAGGCAGCATGCTCCTGGGATCCTATTCACAGCTGCAGTAGCTGCGCCCCCAAAAGGCACTTTCTCTATGCCAGGTACTATGGGAAGACAGTCTAGAACCTGCCTGTCATATGGACCTGACTTCACAGTTGCTCTTGTATCTGCCTAAGGACTCCTGGAAATGCCTCTCAAAGACACCTGAGCCTTACAGTCTGTTCTCAGGAACTGGGGCCATGCCACGGTTTTGAGGCCTTGGCATGCCCTGTGTGCAATTGATGACAGAGGTGCACCATGTGGCAGACCTTGATGAACCCCCAGTTAATCTGCCTTCAGATGCTGCCCTCCCCGCTCTAGACAAATGACCAAGGATGTTATTTTTTAACCTACTGAGCACTGAGGTTGTTTGTTAGAAAGGAGCAAATTTCTACCCCCTTCCTAAAGCACAGTGATCACAAGGAGATTATAGTATAGATAATGCAGTACAACACAATCAAAATATTTTAACAATAACATGGATTTCAAAGTTTACTCAGGAAATGCTTGTAAAGTTTTCTGGATTTTGGTCGAATTAGAGGCATGAGACAATGGTTCTCCCTGGGGCAGGAATGCCTATTGGTATTTTATATTTGGTAAGAGGTGAGCATCGGGACAGAACGTGTTGACTCACAGGCCTTCTGCGATGCACTCCAGAGAAAGCACGTTTCCTCTTAGCTCCTCCTTGAGGCTTTCATTGCCCTCTGGAGTTAGAAATGTTGGTGGCCTTTCTTTACTAGGCTTAGCTGCAAACAAGAAATACAATATATGTTAAAATTGTGCACCTCTGTTTCTAGGAACACAGTCATTGTCTAGCTGGCTAGAATTCTAATCTGGTTTCAAATCCGCTTAATGCTTGTTTTGAAATTTGTTTAGCTATGTGTACACACTCTCTCCTTACACTTATTCGGTGTGCAAAAAAAAAAAAAGCAATTTTGGTTGTGTGAGCAAACCAGCAAAAAGATTCCTTTTGTACATGTCTTTTATTTGGGTTGGGTCTGTATTAATTTTCTGGGGGCTAGCCAATTTTCAAAGCCACAGCAAAGAAAAGTCAGCTCATTAAACTACACGTCCCTTAAGACTGGTATTCAGGCGAAGCAAAAAGTGTGTATTTTGAAAGATGTTCAAATCTTTTTTCAGCGGTAAATTATTGTGGACAAGTATTTTTTTTTTTTTTTTTGGTTTTTCGAGACAGGGTTTCTCTGTGGCTTTGGAGCCTGTCCTGGAACTAGCTCTTGTAGACCAGGCTGGTCTCGAACTCACAGAGATCCGCCTGCCTCTGCCTCCTGAGTGCTGGGATTAAAGGCGTGCGCCACCATCGCCCGGCCCTGTGGACAAGTATTTTGATGTGTTCCGGAGATAACAGTACAGCCAGTTCCACTGACTTATATCTGAAGATTGCTACACTGCAAGGTCTATGAAAAATAAAATGAAACTAGGCAATTGCTGACAGAGTTCTAGCAAATTATAAGCCATGAATTAAGATTAAAGGCTGAAGGGTAAACTTCATGGCAGAGTGTTTGTGTAGTGGGTAAGATCCTGTGTTTGGTCCCTCGCTTTGGAGAAAGAGGAAAAGTGTATTAGCAGAGCTAAACATATTGAGATCAGTTTCTCAATGACAAAATAAAGAGGGTCTAAGTCAGAGAGCTTAGAACTGTTTATACCAAAGGCCTTCTGTCCGACGGACTCTTAAAAGTGTGGCCTTATCTACTGAGTCCTTGGGATATTTTCAGGTGGAAATGTCATAGGACTGGATTTTCATTGTTTCAACCACAAATGATCTACTTGATACTTCTAAAACCAAATTAAGAGGTGGTATGTAAATTTCTCATTTCTCAGAATACCAAAAAGGCATTGTTGAAAAAAAAAATTAGTTTTCTTAAGGATTTAGAGCTTGTTGGGGGACCTTCCTCCTCTGAAAACAACTTTGAGAATGCTCTTGATACCCGTATTTGGGAGGCTATATTAAACAAATAAAGGTGAGAATTAGATCCTGCCATGTTCTCTAATGTTCCTATCTCAAAGGCGAAAAATTAATGCAGCAGAAACTCTATGGGAATTATAAAGCCCTTATGTCCTGAGTTTCTTATTTTTAGTGATATATTTTAGGTTTGACAGCCACGTTTTTCCTTAAGGAAATCAAACTCTTTTCATCTTAAAACAATGAAGCTGAATGATGTATTTTTAAAAGTTTGTTCCCACGGAACTCAATGAGAGGGTTTCTACCAAAGCTAAGAATAATACGGCTGCTAATTCTCCTGAGTAATGTCATGTAAAACTTAAGAAGGGTTAGACGACTACTATGGGATGTATTCTATGTTAGTTACTGAAGGTGCAGGTGAGTCAGTATTCTAGCGGTTAATATGACCAGTCAGTTCATGTGTAGGTCATGCAGAAAGGTTTTAGACAGCACAAAATATGGGAAATACAATTCTGAACACACATGAAAGAATTTTTTCTAAAGCATATGAAATGGTTTACATGACAAATTATAACAAGTTTAATTATACATATACCATGGAGGATGTTTTAGTGACATGGTTGAAATCGTCTAGCTAGGTTTCATAAGAAACGCATGTTGGTATGGTGATATTAAACATATAATTAGAAATTTCATACAGAAACAAAGTTAAATAGTCATGGAGGTGAAGTTAGTGAACTACAGTCTACAATGAAGGAGAGAATATCAGTTACAACCAGTGTAACTCACCACCATAAAACTCAGTGTCACTCAAATTAGCAGCTATAGTGTCATTCAATTCATCCACTGAAATAAACAGAATATCATGAAGAGGGCATAGAAGTGGGAAGAAGAGTCAAAAACCACTGGGCGACAAAAACAAATTCCTACGTCTACGCTAAGTGCCAGGTAAACACAGTGCTTGACATCTTACTGGCTAACTCACTCATTCATTCACTCTGCCACCCCCAACCACAACTTGAACTATAGGATAAATACCAATCAAAGGCATTGTGAGGCAGAATGCCTACGCCAATGCTCAGAACACCACAGAGTCGGGAGGTTACCATAGAAACAGGACTGGCAATCAGCGAAAAATGCAAAATACAATATTTAGAGTATGCATGCTCTTTCTAGCACATAAGCTGTAGCGAGCTTCACAGGGATTCTCCTGACCACTGAACTGGTTTACCTCAGAGTCAGAATCGTATTTAATTGCTAATCATTAGATCCACATATGTAACCACCACTGAAAGAGACCCAAAGGGCCGAGCTCTCACCTGAAATCACCTTCAGAGAAATAGGCTGCTTCTGTTGTATGGTTTGAGTGTGATTAAATCTGGCATAGCAGATATAGTCTTCACGGGTGTCTTCTGGGAGGACATTGGAGAAGTAAAGGTCTCCATTCAGGCCTTGGGAAACCCTCTCACTCTGTGGAAGTCTTTGGAAGGCTGGAGGAAGACAAAGAGTTACTCAGGTCATTCTATCTCCACAGCAGCCGGACAACCATCTACCAATAATACCTTTGTACTTCACCTGAAAAAATGACATATTTCTCACAGGACTTTTAGTAAAGAAAACTGGTTTTATTGTTGTTGTTTTATTTTTGGTTTTGGTTTGTGTTTTTAAGATGTGGGATACACAGACAGTCTATCAGACCTGGCCGATCCTGATTTCTGGGAGCTTGAAGCAGCAATAGGACTAGAGCTATGAAGCGAAATATTTGATTAAGAACAGAGAAACAAAAAATGCCCTTAACAGACTTGCATGTTTCCTGGCATCTGAATTGGTCTCTAATTGCACACATCTCGGAAACACATCAGAAAAGTTTGTAAGGATATTAACATGAGTTACATGTCATCATAAATACGGCTCTGAGCAAGGAGACCATCACAACAAGTCACCTAATCTGGTGCGAGTTTACAGTCTAATCATGACTCATGCAGCAAACACCTGTTAAACATACAAGCAATGATGCCTCTATTTGATGCTATGATCTGCTGCTCGGAAGCCAGATCCGGTTTCCCTCCCCTCATGTACAGCTCATCTTGTGACATAGTCCACCATTATATGTGTACATAATGGCCATCTCTTTGTACTAAAATTATAGCTCCAGGAGAGAGGACATTTTTTGTTTAATGTTGAAGCTATGGACAGGTGTCCACCCTTTGGCACGGACTCCTTTAAACACTCTTGGAAGGGCTAAATATTAGCCATCAGCACACTGGCATTCCAGTTTCCAGAATGATCGTCCTCCTTCAGGAGCAGGTAAGAAGGTAGCCTCAGGCACGATCAGAGGATTTACCACATGGCCGAGGAATGAGGAGATGTGAGAACCACTGATCTGTGTACGATGTTACATTTGACCATCAGAAAGCATCCTGAAGCTCCTGACTCAGTTCCCAGAGCCTGAACTATGATTTCTTCAGCTCCCAAGAGAAGGAGACTTAGACAAGTCACACGTCCCTGCAACATCAGGCTGGGTGTCATATCTGCTGATGGGATTTCTTCAGTTTGAGGCAAGGATGTGTGCTATTCCTTCAGCAGGTATCTGACTGAACATTTCTTTCACAAAATGCAAAATTGTAGTTAAAACTCAGCAGTAACTTTGGCAGTCAGAGTCCAATAAATTGTGTTACTCAACTTTCCGTCAAGGTGGAGGCTGATAAGTTTATAGTCTTAAAACATTAATCCTCTTGGAGAGGAATGATTTTAAGATATTGAGGGAAAGAATATACACTGGGAGCAAGGCAGGGTGGTGCGTGCCTGAAATCCAAGCTATTTGGAAGGTTGAAGAGGGAGAGCTACAAGATGAGGCAAGTCTGTACAACATAAGAAGTTCAACATCAGCCTGGGCTATACAGTGAGAACTTTTCTCAGAAAATGTACATTTATCTAATGAATCCAAGGCACCGAAGACATGTATTTATTGTCTTTTGTTTCTCCTCCTGAATTGCATGGTTGATGGATGCTGGTAGCTCAGATGCAAGGCAACAGGACATCAATAGGGGGCATGAGGTTGCCCTTGAGCTTCTTTGTATTACACTTGGAGAAAAGATTATGCAGATAGGGATATTTTTATGATGCATAAAGCGAGAGTGCTGCAGGGATTCAGCTTCTCCTCATATTTCAGATGCAAGATCATTTGAAAGGTGGATGGTTTGCTGCCATTTTAAAATTTATGAAATCATACATATTGTCAGCTGTGCCATGCAGGAAGCATTAGCGATATATTCAGATTATCTGGAGAGTTTCCATCTGACATATTTCTTTATTAAGCAAACAAGAAATCATTTCTGAATAAGAGCGATTAATGCATCTAATTTTGATGGTGATATTTGAAGAGTGTTACTCTCGAAGCCATACATCACTCCTTTATATTGGATTTGTTGCTTATGCCCTCAAAATCCATAAGAGCTGCCGCATAAATAAAGCTCATGACACTTTCTTTGAGTGGTTTCATGAGCCAACAATGAATATGAAGTGTTAAGACTCTGATTTTCCCCTCGGTGAGGTTTGCAGTCTGTGATGGCAGAGGGAGTCAGGTCTCTGAGAATAGGGTATTTTATGCAAATCTTTTGCCTGCGTTCCCACCATTCCCTCTACAGGTAGGTCCCTTTCAAGGTCACAGCGGTGTTCTTGCAGATCTAGCAGTCCTTTCCCAGGGCTCATGTTATCCATCAGCTTCACTCCGCAGCCATTACTATTTTCATAGCCTGACTTCTCCACATGCTCCATGCAACACCGTGCTATGCCTCCAGGGACTCTTTCGGTCTCAGCCACTGCTCCTTCTCATTTGATTTTTTTCCTGTATTTCCCTAAACTCTTGCAAGGCTCTTGGTGTTAGCCCCGAGGCTCAGTTCTCTACCTCCAGTAGTGAATGTCTAAATTATCTCATTCAGCCCACTGTCGTTTCCCTATGCCTTTATACTCTAAGAATTCAGACCCTGCTGACTACAACCCTGGCTTATCCCCTGCCTCACACCCCCGACCTTTGCTGAGCATACTGATATGAGCATGTCTTGGACCTCTTATGGCTCCTTAATTTCTAAGCCTAGTTTTGTGCCACCTCTGAGATAGCATGCTAACACAATAGCTCTGGTGGGTGGGGGGTTATAACGACAAATATTTCTGTCAATGACTAGGTCAAAAGTAGACACATTTGAAATTTTCTAGCAAATGTCATTTCTCCTTGTTCCAGTTTCCCTGCTGGGAAAATGGAGAGGATGACTGGATATGCCTCAGCTGGTTGTAAGCCACATCCTGGAGAATCCATGCGATATTCTTGGCAAAGGAACCCAGTAAAGGCTCAATAAATATTAGCTGTTTGGGGTGATTAAAAAAAAAAGAAACCCTAAAGATATGAAATAATAGAAGTAACCTAATTTCCTCCGCTACTAGCCTTTGAGGTTTCAGGAAAGGAGTCTCCTATTTTTCTTTTTTTTTAAATTTATTTATTTATTAAGGATTTCTGCCTCGTCCCCGCAACCGCTTCCCATTTCCCTCCCCCTCCCCCGATCAAGTCCCCCTCCCTCATCTGCTTGAAGAGCAATCAGGGTTCCCTGACCTGTGGGAAGCCCAAGGACTGCCCACCTCTATCCAGGTCTCCTAAGGTGAGCATCCAAACTGCCTAGGCTCCCACAAAGCCAGTATGTGCAGTAGGATCAAAAACCCACTGCAATTGTTCTTGAATTCTCAGTATTCCTCATTGTCTGCTATGTTCAGCTAGTCCGGATTTATCCCATGCTTTTTCAGAGTCTCCTATTTTTCAATCAGTGTTCAGTCTCTAAACTTTATATTCCTCCCTGACTCTTTCCCACATAGTCCTATCTCTCCCTCGACTCCGGGGCTACCTCTCAAGTCCAAGCACCATTAGCCATGCCCTGGATTGCAGCAATGCACACCGAATTGACCTCCACTCCCCTCTCTTGTTCAAGTGCTGGGCATTAAACCTAGGGTCTTAGAGAGTCTAGGCTAGCAGTCTGCCACTAAGCCACGTGCTGAGCCACATCCTGGCCCCTCCCCCAGTCCTCTTTTGCTCTCCATGCTCTCCACCCATAATGGAAATGAACCTTTTCCTAATTATTTTATTTAAGATAAATGTGCCCCTTCAACATTTTCCTATTTCGTTCAGAGAGAGAGAAAAAAAAAAGCCCTTCCCATTGAGTCCCTTTGATCCCATGACACTAACATCCTCCTTCCTGTTGGCTCTTTTACTATGGTCACTTTTTTGTTTGTTTGTTTGTTTTTTCTGTTTTTTCACCCTAGGGATGCTTCTCCTTAGGGCTGGCACCAAAGCCCCCCTTGCACACGGATATGCCGGTGGTCACTTGAGTACCCTCTCAGCCTGGCCCGTTAGCTCGGGCCCACACGTCACTCGAGTACCCTCTCAGCCAGGCCCGTTAGCTCGGGGCTCACACGTCACTCGAGTACCCTCTCAGCCAGGCCCGTTAGCTCGGGGCTCACATTTGTGCTGTGTTTTCTTCCATAAAATTCATTGTTGACTGACACCGATTTTCAAGACACATTTGCTGTCCGCTTCCTTTTCTGTCTCAGCTGACCCTTGTTGTCTACGAAGGAAGCCTGGTTGTCACTGGGCTTGTATTTTCTGTTGTTGTTAATCTCTAGCAGCGCATGGAGCAGTGAATGAATGGCGTGGCATGGTACTTTCGTCACTAAGAATGAATGATGTTGCATGGCACTTATCACTAGGCAGCTGTTTCTCTGAGCACCTATCGATCATTCCGAAGCACTTTACGACTCTTAAGAGGAAGTAAAGTGTTAAGACAACTAATAACTACAAGAATATTGCCGAAAACTCATAGTGATAAGACTTACAGTTATCCATCCAAAATATTATGGCTGGTGGTAATCCAATTGGAGGCCTACAGGGAAGTACCAATGACTGACCATTTCGAAGTGTGATTGGTTCAAGTCTTTCTTTGGTCCACAAGGGCGACCCTGTTAAGTAAAAACCAAAAACTTTGAGTTATGCCTTCAAGAGAAAATAAAAAGATGACAACAATACAAAGAAAGATACCCAAAGTTTTTGGAAAACAGTAACCTAGAATTTATATACATTGAATGATAAAACTGCTTTAAATAAGGTGTTAGAGACTTTTTTGCAAAAAGCAAACTATAATAGGGGAAAAAAGAAAAATTTCATTTATTATTATATGCTAACATAATAACATATAATAACATAATTATATATAATATATGTTAACATAAATAACAATTGTTATCATTGATAGTGTTATTCAAGCCACTAATCCATTATCTAATAATTTACCCTAATACACCAATAAGATACTGGCTTTGATACAGGCATGTTCTCCATAGAGAATGGGAAAAACATAAATGTCAGCATATTTGCTAAATAAGTAAATATATACACATCTGAATTTCATACAGTATTATATATGTATACTCACTTATAAGATGTGTAAGAGAATATATACCATATATTGATATCAATTTCAGGCTAAGCTGGTTTTATATACATATACACAAGGAAAGAAAATACCGACTAGAAGTTATTTCTATGAATGGAAAGTCTCATGATGAATTGCAACTTCTTTACCCATAATTTCAAAAGGTATGTACTTTTAAATGTTTTCAAAATAACCACAACTGCAAACGGTCACTACTGTATAAAGGTCAAATCTCCCTTACTGGATGGGCGGACCACAATGTTATTAGAGACAGCAGCGCCACGCTCGTTCCTTGCTGTGCACTGGTAGACTCCTTCATAGGTCTCTGCTTTCCCCTCAGTGATGATGTTGATGACGAGTGTTCCTGAGCCAGGCTTCATGGTGACCAGAGGGTCTTTGTCGATGTCAAAATGAGTTCCATTGCGAGTCCAGGAGAAGCTGCCCAACAAACACATCAAGGGTTAAGCTCATTAATGGTCTAGAAAAATAGGGTTATAGTCCTCATAAAAAACCTTGGGCTTTATGGGGTTCCGAGAATAATTGTTAGATTTTTTTTTTAAAAGATTTATTTATTTATTTATCATTCATTCATTCAGTCAGTCAGTCAAGTATCCTGCGTGTAGGCCAGAAGAGGGCACCAGATCTCATTATAGGTGGTTGTGAGCCACCATGTGGTTGCTGGGAATTGAACTCAGGACCTCTGGAAGAGCAGTCAGTGCTTTTAACCGCTGAGCCATCTCTCCAGCCCTAATTGTTAGATTTTAATATTTACTAAAAGGCCTCCTTGCTTAAAATATTAAATTAAATCACAACACTGAAAAAAAATGTGATGTTTTTACATTTTGAGGCATATAAATCTTTTAAAATCAATTCAAATTTAATACAAATTGCCTGCCATTTATCTAAATAAAATTAAATAACAGTACTTTAAGGTGTAGTCTCTGAACTTTATTAACATTTTTATTGTAAACCCCATTCTTCACGCACAGTTGAGCTGTCTATAAAAATGTATTCTAGGCTGAAACGGAACAAGAAAGGCCTCCATCAGCACAGTATTTTCTTTGAGTGGGAAACTGACCAGATCTGTTTCAAGTTACCCAAGTACAAACTGGAGGCTGGGGGGGAGAGTTAAGACTATGGCTATCTTAAATGTTATTAAATGTTTTAGTTGTTAAAAGTGGCAACTCTACATAAGGTGTATTTTTAGAATTTTTAATTCTAGAAATAATTATACAAACTTTTAGGAGATATGCCAAATTGCCAACCCAAATTTATTTTTCTCAGTTTAGTTCTATAAAAGATGCCCTCCCATAGACGTCACAGTGCTCTCGTGATTAAATACTTCCTAATTAGTCATACCTCGGTGACGGCAAGATGATGGTGACATACACATCTAACTTCCCTGTGTTTTCCAACTTGAATTTCTTGTCTTGCTACTTACATGCTTGCTAAAGCTAGGGCAGGCAGTAGCAGTATCTTTGCCCTCTGCCCCTCTCGTGGGCAGAGGGCAAAGATACTGGAAGCATCCCAGAGTACACAGGGTCATTCTCACAGCGAAAAGCCATCAGCACTGACCACTGACAAGAAGTTTTGCCATGCTTGTATGGCCTTAACTAAGAGTGAAAGTGAAGGGCACGTGGAGGCCTGTTTGAAAATGGTTTTCAGCAGTATGTCGGTGCTACCGTTCTGGAGTAGAACATTGATGGAAGTGTTGCCACGCATAGGTATCTAGAACCAGGCAGTTTTTGGTCCCCCTCAGGTTCTAGTTTAAGAAGCTTATAATATATAGATGTGCAAATAAAATACCTGAAACACTTATCCTCCTTATTTTTAAACTAGTGTACCTAGCTACAATTTAACAGTCATAAGATTTAACAGTTACAAAGTAATAGTTATTTAACATCTTATATTTTAACAATCAAGCGCTACAGAATTCTCCATCCTACTGAACTGTTGTGTGACATTCTGGAGGGCTTTGGGTGACAGTCCAGCAGATTCCCCTCAGTCCCCCATCTTTATTATACTTTGTTTAGACTGAATTAGGAAGAGCCCTGATAAGTACAACGAACAGTTGTAGGACTATTCCATGGCCAGTAGAGAGACAGGAAGGAGAGTTTGTAAAAGCCATCAACTCAAACTGTTCTTAACCAATGAAAGCAACACAGGGTAAAAGGTGTTTTCCCTTATCATAAACCACTGTTGTCAGAACCAAGATTAGAGGGTCTGTATCACCTCAATACTTATGAGCATTTTACAGAAAAGCACAAATAGGGAAGTGCAAAAATCTGGGCTTTAGCAAATGAGCTGGAATTAATCTGAGAGATGAGACAACGAACCTATAACTGGAACTTTAGAGAGATGCAGGACCTAAGAAGACACATCAAACACCTTTAAAGGGCGGAAATGAGCCGGGAGTTAGTTAGAAAAACAGATGAGTTTGCTGTCGGTCATATCGAGAAATATCCAACTAAAGAAGACTTCACTCCGCATGATTGTCTCTATTTTATCAAAATCCCAAACATATTTATGGTCACAGACATTGCCCACTATTTTAAGTGCTATCCGAAGCAGGAAGCATGCTTACCTGGGAGGAGGCTTCCCTTTAGCCTCACACTGGATCACAATGTTCTCCCGAGGGTCAACAATGTAGTCCTTTGGTGACTGTTGAGTGATGGTTGGAGGTTGTACCACTTAATTGTAAAAGGAGGAATAATGTAAAGAAATAAACGATTTACTATCATGATAGCAGCCACCTTTCCTATGTTAAAATCACTTGCCTTCGACTAAATATGCCACAAGTATTCCTAGTAACTTCTGTTGTAGCAGTAAATCCTCATTAATGTTTCAACTAAAACTCATCTAAAGTCGGGAAGTCAGGACACAACTTCCCTTTGGCAACATCACACACACTTGCAAATTTCATTTTCCCATACCAAACGTCTGAGAAAATGATTACTAGTCCAAATCTGATATTCAAACACTGTTCTTCTGATGTAACAATGAGAAATTCACGGTTCTTCTGTTTCAATATAAGTTATGAAGTAGATTTGACTCTTAGAATACAGTCACTGACATCGAGCTCATTAATATGCTAATTATGTAAATTAATATATCTCAGGGAAACATACTTTTGACATGCTCATATTTAAAATACTGTTAAACCAGAGCTTTGTCATGCCTTATCAGAGCTAAGAGGTAGATGAATTAGGGATGAAGAGAAAACACTCTTATTTCAGCAATAGATGGGATTGAAATTCTCCTTTTTAGAAGACGATGTCTCTATTGTGTTCTCCCAATTATTACCTTTACTGTGAACCTTTGAAGGTAACTGTTTTGACTCAGAGCAATTCAATATAAGGAGAGCCAGTCTAGAGACCTTGAGCATTATCCAAATTGCTCTAAGACCACCACAGTGTCTTTCGTCTCATGAGATCATGATTCTTGTTAGCACGGGAAGGCACTAGAGAGACCAGAAACTTCACCCTCTGGCTTGACTAGGAAGGCACCAAGCAGAGACTAATTCTCACCTAGTTTCTGCTTGTGCTAAGCACATCTTCAGCTGAAGTTATTCACAAAGTCGTAGTTTGCAACAGGAGCAATTTGCCCTTGCTCTTCCAGGGAGGGACCTTTGGCCATCTGGAGAAAGTTCCCATTGCCACTACTAGGGTTGGGGTAGAATAGCCATTGTAGTAGGTAGAGGCCAAGGATGTCTTACCAGCCCCAGCGCTAACATGCTAGGGCTGAGAAGCCTGGCGTGTGCTGCAAAGTGAGGGGCATCTTTGGGACTGTGTGACGAAGCAGTCCTGTTCCAGCTTGCTTTCCCCCTGCACCAGGCACTTTGGACCCTCCTGCCTTCATCTTGTCTATTTCCAACACCAGTCAGCAGTCTGTCTGAAGGTTGGTGAATCTCTGTTTTTCATTAGCTGGGAGACTTAAGGCTCAACTCCTGTAGCCCTCAGAGAAGAGGGAGGTTCAAAATTTGACCTGGCTTCCAGCAGTAACTGGGAGGATTAGTGGCACACTTTGTGTAAAAGTTTTCATAGATACCAATGCTAGAACTGTTCAGTTTGGCTTCGGGATTCCGATTTTCACCAGCTTCATTTTGGAGTGATCAACCTCAGATTTTGAGAGTACAGCGTTTGGGATAATGAAAGGAATTCTTGAGGTGCTACACCATCAAAGTGGTGAACAAAGACATTGATAGAAGGGATTCTTAGGAGTCATTCAGTTCAGTTCTTCTTGCAGGGGAATGAGGTGGGGTCCAAGAGTGTCTGACATGCAAATTTGGTTGCAAATGCAGGGCTTCCCCTCCTTTGCCTGCAGCTGTGCCAGGAGTTAGCCATCTGGACGGATCGTCATATGGCAATTAACAAATGCTTTGTAGTAATAAGTGACTTACCAAGATTTCTCTGTTTAATTCAACAGCAAAGGAGAATATCTGAGAAGGGACCATCTCTTCAGGAGATGATAAAGACTACCCAGCTGTCAGAAGCAGCAGAACTGTTTCCTCCTAGGAAGCCTCCCTTGAACAATTAGCCGAGGTGTTCTGCCTTCTGTGTATGTCAAAGCAATCTTCGAATTTGCAGGGCTGTTCTACTTACAGCACCTAGGACCACTGTTCTCCCCAGTCTCAGAGCTAAAGTCATAGAAGAGGAACTTGAGAGAGGCTTCTGTACGCCACCCACTTTCAAAACTCTGCAAAAGATGCGTGTCTGTTCCAACTGACATTTGTAAAAGAAAAAAAAAAGAACCTCCCTACAAGGTTTTGAATTCTCTCATTGAGTTACATCAGATGCAGATACAGCTAGTGTATTAGTAGAAGAGCAGGTTGGCAAAAGTAGCATCAGAATTCCCGTTATTCATGCAGGTTATATAGTACGTTTGTACCTTAGCATTCAAATGAGGCATTTGGCTACAGAAAACAACATGCTTAGAAAGGCGCTCATCACAAAGCATGGTGTTGTTTGCTTGATTCACACGCTTAGTTCAAGAAACAAGGACACAGCCACATCTTCACACTGCCTAGTAATTTGTGGAAATTCACTTACAGTCGTCAAGAAGCTTTGCTTTTTTTCCCCATCAGTATCAGCAGGTGAGTGGGCAGAGAAGATTAAAGAAAATCAGATGTTAGTGATGAGAAAGTTAGCACCCTAAAGATAAAAAGGGCATCTTGTCTACTTGGCTTGACCTAGAATAAAAACACCGTACTGTAAAAGTTACAGTTGTGACATTACGAGAGAAAGAAGCGGGCACTCATAGTTTTGTCTGCCCCTGCAGCAGCTTCTCACATCAGCATATGGAAGAACAAAGGCGATGCTGTAGGGGAAAAAGGGGGGGACACTTCCAGGAGCAGGCATAGCTAATTCCATCCCATACACATTGTGCTGCACTGATAATTATGGTCAATTTGAAAAACAGATGAAATCTACAATTAATCCGAGTTGTCACTTTCTGTGTAGGGCCTGATCTTATTATCCCAGACACCAGGACGCATATGATAATGATGCCTAACAATGAGAGATTGCTACCACTCTCCGTCCAAGTCAAATCCAACACTGATTTCCGGTTCGAACATTTCTAGGATGGCTTTATGTCATTAGCCTATCTCTGCTTCGGCATTCTCACTCACCAAGATTGAGGATGTAGGATGATTGTGGGTACCGAAGAAAGGGTGTGAGGAACAGGGGCATGTTTACATGCATTTCCAATCATTCTGCAGGGCTGCCTGTCACTACTACTTGCAAAGGTTAATGCAGGAGAGCCTAGGCTACCCATGACTTTATTTTCATCACGGTTGTGCCTCTTCTCCATTAGCTGCCATAATTGAGTTAGCCCTAGGTGCCTGTTTCCCCTGATAGTTAGATTGAGCGGTCAGATTAAGGAAGAATATATTTAACACAAGAGAGAACAAAAGCATTTCCCTCACTGCCTTTTCCTCTCTCCAGCGCACCTTTTAGAGTAAATGCTTACTTAAATATTCCTGCTCTGATAGGCTCAGGCAAAATGAGCATTTCAATTAAATGTACATGTACATATTTTAAATTAAGGTCACTGGATGAATAACTCTTCAAATGAAAATGTGGCATTCTGTTGGGCTTTAGTTGTGGAGGCGCACGGCTCAGGCAGTGAGCAGAGTGTGCCAGAAACGCTGCCTTGTCTTCCAGGGGCTAGTTGCAATTTCTGTGGTGGAAAAGGAGACCCCAGCAATTGCATGGCCCCGGGAAACAGCTATCTTTCTTGCACCTTAGAAAGCTTGCCAAACAGATGTTCTACTCAGGAAGCTAATGGCTTTAAAGAGGTCATGTAAATTGGGGATAAAGGGTAAATCAATTGTGAAGTACAGTAATTGCTCAGATTTGAAATTCTGCTTCACGCAGCAGTAATATATCCAGCTGGAACCCAGTGTTGTCTTCATTGTCTACAAACAAACCACTCGGGCCAGAAAGGCTGTGGTGCATGTTTTACTTTTGGGGAAATAAAGGAGAGAGATGCCCCCGTTTGCTGCTTCCTTTCAGGGATTTTTCAGGTCCTGCCTCGGTATCAAAAATTTTTCACCTTGGTCTGTGGCCACATAGTTTAAGCCAAAGCAGACTATTCAGTGGGTTTGTCGATAACATTCTATTCTTATAATTAAATTCACGCTGAGTGCGCAAAACGAGAAAGTGAAATGAGGTTGTTTGTCTGAATTAGAAGAAACAAGGTATGAAGTATGGATGATCTGGGGACACCAAGGGGCAGAAGGTTGGCGACACCATCCTCTGTGTTCTTGTTTTCTTTCTCTTTTTTCAGAGATGCCTCAGCAATGAAGGGAGACAAGAAGTGAGGCTCTGCAACCTTCTTGTAAAGTGGTTCACACGGTCCTTCCCGCAGGGGGCTGCCCACCGGGAGGATCAGGGCAGTTGCGCCAGCCCCTCCTCAGACCACTCCTGCCACTGGACAACAAAGACACGTGAGGCAAAGAGAGATGATGAGAAAGAGAGGACAGCTTGTGCAGCCATTTCCACGGCCTTCCCTACAGTGTCTTCGTAAACACCAGGTGCTGAAGGTGAAAGCCAAATTAATTTTGATTAGCTTTTCAGTGCCTCGCAGAGACTTTCCTCATCCACACAGTTCAGGGTGGTGGTAGATACCGGGAAGGCTTGCCTCCTGGCCTAAGAGATGTAAACTGCTAATACTCACGATCAAGAGGCACGTCCAGGGCACCAATCATCTGGCACAGGAAGAGAATCAGGGGCACTCTGCCTGCAGAGAGGTGCTTCTTTTTCGGCATTATTTTAAGCGGCGGCATCAGCTCTTCTCCTGCTGAGACCCACACACGGAATTTCCTTTTCTTCTCTCGCAGAAGAGTTGCGGGCAACGCTCAAATAATTTCTCATGCAGGGAACTGAATAAGGGCAGGATAAGAACAATAATTAGGATGCATTAGAAGTCGGAAGCGAAGAGCGAAAAGAAGCAGCTCAGAAAAAAATCCGCTCTCCATTATACATGGATTCTAAAAGGGAATTAAGTTTTAAATATTTAACTCAGAGACTGGAATAATCATTTATTCATAAATCTAAAATCAGCTCAGAAATATTTGTGGTGATGTCAAGCAAATTCTGTACCCTTTCCTATTATTATGATTTTTCCATTTTTAAAGTGTTAAGAGTGTTCATGCTATCTGAAGGTCTTCTTTGGAGTCTAACCTGGAACTCACTCTGGCCTCGAACTCACAGACACCCGCCTGTCTCTGCCTCCTGAGTGCTGGGATTAAAGCCGTGTGCCACCACCACCTGGCCCATGTTTTTCTTAATACTTCAGGAAACCTTGGCTGTGAAGCCAGTTGGAAAGTGAGCACCCTGAGACTTCAGAGGGGAGTCCTAACGGCTTCTTCATTCTGAAGATGCTCGCTGGGAGAGTTCTGGGCAGGACCACAATTCTCCCCCAGCCCTAAACACGGATGGAACAGATAAACACTGACACTCGGGTCATCCCCATTTCTTAGCTAGGTGGCAACGTCAGAGCCAGCTGAACTCTGGGTTCCAGGCTGTCCTCTGCTCACTCTCCTCAAAAGTGTTGATTAATTATTTCCTCCAAGGTCTTCTTTGGTGAAATATCGGCAGTCACCATTTCAGTTCACGCTATCCTTTAACAGGTGTTTGAAGCCCCTCGATGATCTGGACTGATTGATCCACCAGCTTCCTCCACTTCCTTGTAACTATTCTCTAGATGATTTCTTTCTGTTTTTCTTTGTTAGTCCTTCAGTGTGCCTTGAAATCCCCCACCCCTTGTCTTATTTTATCCCATCCCTTTATTTGGAAAGCCTTATCCACCTTATTAGCTTATAAAAGTTTTATTTGCTTTTCACAAATCACTTAGGAGATTCTTTTCGAGAAATGTCAGCTGATCGTCCAGACTAGAAAACATCCAAGAACCACCTCTGAATTCCTGAAATTTCTCATGGTATACATACTGTTCATGTGTATATATACATACATACATGCGTGCATGTTCGTATATAACATGATCTCTGCACCTGGGAGGCTGACACTCGAGGATTGGTGGGAGTTCAAGGCCATTCTGAGCTACACAGTAATTTCAAGTTCATCATGGAGCTACAAGTAATACCTTTGTCTCAAAACAAATGAAACCATAAATAAATAATAAATAAATAGGCTTTGTGGGCTGTGTTTCTCTCGTCTTACTGTGCTGTCAGACGCTGCACTGAAAATCTGATTTCAGCCAGAGAAAGATATCTGTCCCGCCTGGAAAGAGAGCTTGAATGTGTCTTCTCAGGAAGCAAAGGCACCCATGAACAATGGCTCTTGGGTGGATAAAAGGGAACAATACCATTATAACCTAAGGTAGCTACTACAGGTTTCATTAATGAATTATGTGTGGAACCCTTATTATTTAAGTCGTCGTGTATTTCCACTATATTCATCTTTTCTACCAGACTCCTGCAGGCTGGAGACTGACTCTCCACTACACACTACTGCATCTCAGCAGCCTGCTTGGAGCATGGAAGGGAGCAGATAAATATCTGTGGTAGCAAAATGAAGGGAAGAAAGAATAAAACAAAATGGAGCCCTGAGATCATTGAACTGACTGTATTCAAACAGCTTGACCATGGTATAATCCGAACTATTATTATCCTATAATGTGCAGTTTACAGACCAGAATCTAATCATCATAGATAAATCAATTGTAATATTGGCTCAGCACATGGGATAAAGCACAGACATATGAAAAAAATGGAACAATGTGGATAATGTGTGTTTGGCTAGCAATATAATTCTGATTTAAACTTGGCAGAACAGGTACAAAGAAAAAACAGCTAACTTTAGACATTCTGCTCATAAAATTATTACCTTGTGACACCAACATTCATACTATGTGGTTTAAGATGCAGAACGTTTGTCTTTTATTCCATTATAGCATTGAGAAGCAGGAAGAGCAGCTTGTTCAAGAATTTCTGACCTGAACTTAAAGCAACTCACATTTGTGTGCACACAGCAGCACATGGCCACCACACAGTCACATTTTCTTAGGTCGCCTCAGCTCTGGCTGCTTTGGTGCTAATTCTAATTCAGAAAAAGCATCAGGGAAAGTGAAAATAAAAGGCACAACGTGCACCAAAGCAAGCAGCTCTTACAGACAATGAATGCTGAGGAAATCCAGCAAAGCTCAGCTCTGGAGTGCACACCATTGCCTGCCTAGTTTATAAAGGATGCAAATAAAGTTTATTAGATTTAAGCACTCAGTTCTCAAATAGGTACTAGAAAACCCGAACACTTCCCCAAATCTATACAATATATACCACAATGCCTGTAGGATCTTTTTTTTTGTTTTTTTGTTTTTTTTTTGTTTTTTCGAGACAGGCGGCTATGCATACACAGTTCCTAAGTTCCTCACACCTTACATACTTTGCCTGATGTCTTAAGTGTTCATTTACTCCCCCACTGAGAGAAAACAATGAGACAAGCTTCATATAAGATAAAGCATCATTTAGCTAGCTTTATCCTTTCAATGTATACATGAAATTAATAAGTCACATATAAAATTACGGTGCATAGGATAAAGAAAAAACTCAAGTTTTAGAAAAACCGAGAGAATACTTACTGAAAGAGGGATGAGCAAATAAATCTTCACCCTATTGGGAAGTTAGGAACGATCATACTGGAAAAAATGGTCTCTCCTCAAAGACTGGAAGTTAACTGCACCATTAGCCACAAGATCCTCTCCAGTGCATATGCTCTTAGGGCAGGACAAGGCGATGGCTCAGCCCATCCCTGACTCCTGACCGAGAAAAATCACCCACTCCTCCTCCAAATGCCCTCACAGGTGACATGCCCGGCACTCAAGGGCAGCATTAAGTCCCCAGCACTCAATCAAACTGAAAATCGAAGACAGCGACAGAAAACTAAGCTTTCTCTCAGGGAAAGGAATGCTGCAGGAAGGGCAGCTCCTGCTTGCATCCTCAGTGTTCCCATCAATACCCCGCCAGGAGCTACGTGCCTTGTGTTCACCTTGGGAAGGAATGGCTATTCAACAGCAAGAACCACAGACCAAACGGGATTCTTCGTAATGAGATTAAAAAAAAATAAAATCTCAATGTGAGATAACACCCCAGTGAAGGTTAAGGAGCGTGGTAGCTCGAAATGCTAAAGAAAGTATTTACTATTGGACAATATAAAGCCTTAGAAAAGATTATTGTCAGCTCCGATATGTCAGCTTGATAATTAAGATCATCTCTGCTGTCAAAACGATCAGCAGTAAGATGAGCAGTGATGCCCTTTAGTTTATAATTCTCTTAGTTCCATTAAAAGTGTATTTCACATTATGTATGGAATCTGTAAAATGGAAAACAATACAAAAAAAATCTTCAGTATCCTTTTCTCCACCATAGAAGAAATGTAATTCATGCTTCCTTTACTTTTGCCTCAACTTCATAGTAAATCATGAAGCATGATTTACTATATAGTTTTAAAGAATAATCTTAAGTTTTGGCAAAAAAATTCATGTAAAGTCCAAGAAAAGTAGCTGACCTGTGACTTCAATAAGATATCTTCGTTTTTAGAAGAAAAGTAAAATCTTGTTTTTCTCCCAAATGAGAACTGCAGCTATTTTAGGTTTTCAAAGTCAGCTCTCCAGCAGGACAGGGAGGCTGAGCATCATTTGCCATTTTCTCTGCACTGCTCATGCTTTTCTGCATCCAGCACGGGGCGGGCATCAGTGCTGAGTGCACACAGCTGATCTATGCTGTCCAAATCAGTGAACAAATATGCCCGGGCTCCCATGATGCCCTAACTACCGCCACGGATGGAGCATCAGCAGCTGGCCTTTCTGGCTGCCCAGAATGTGGATGTGCCTCGTTCCTGACTGCTCTCCAGTTTCCAACTCAGGGATGGTCCCTTTTACGTTGTGATATTTTTACAGTAAGGGCAAAGCACACAAATGCTACCCCTAGCTACTCCTGTGCCTGTCAGTCACAGACTTGTATCTGAGGTCAGGGAGAAAAGACTAGACATAAATCCTGCACAAAGTCACAGTTACATCAGGACAACCATAGGTCACACAGAGCTAAGGTGTGGACCACAGAGACTTTAAGGATCTCTACAAACAGCATGGCAAACTGCTTGAGACCTTAAAGGGCATGTTTCTCATTTCCCTCAGTCAAAGGAATAGGACAGCAGGGATTCTACAAAGAATTGGTAACTAAGATGAAACAATATTTAAGGACAGATAAACAATGACTTAGTTAGCCCTAATCCTTAGTTAGGGATTCTACAAAGAATTGGAAACTAAGATGAAACAGTATCTAAGGACAAATAAACAATGACAAGCCTTTTAGTTAGGGCTTCTGTTGCTATGACAAAACACCATGGCCAAAAAGCAAGTTGGGAAGGAAAGAGTTTATTTGGCTTATACTTCCACAGCACAGTTCATCATCAAAAATCAGGACAGGAACTCAAGCAGGCAAGAACCTAGAGACAGGATCTGATGCAGAGGCCATGGAGGGGTGCTGCTTATTGGCTTGCTCCTCATGGCTTGCTCAGCCTGCTTTCCTATAGAATCCAGGACCACCCACTCAGGGATTGGATCGCCCATAATGGGCTCTCCTCCACCAGTAACTAATTAAGAAAATGCCTTACAGATGAATCTTATGGAGACACTTCCTCAGTTAAGGTTCTGTCCATTTAGGATAACTCGTTTGTATGTCAAGTTGACATAAGACTAGCCAGTACAACAGGTGACAGTGTATCCTAGTAAAAGCTCAAGCCCCATATTCCTCCAAGCACTATAACTGATAATCTTCTCTGGCATATTGTAAAATGACAGAAAAAGGAAAAGCAATTCAAATATATCCATTTAACAGATGAGGGAAGAAAAATCCTAATCGTG